TTAGAGGTTAGTTCTCCAGTGGGAGAACCCAAGTCTTCCTCTTTCCCATCAATAGCTACTTCATACAGTTTTGAAGCTGCTGAGATCCACTTCTGGTAAGTGGGAAGTTCAAAATGGGAAGGCTGTGGGTTCCTGCCCACACTGTCATCAAAACCTTTCTTGCTTAGGACTAGCTCCACATGCTGCCACAGGAACTCCCGAAGAGTGAAATCTACTAGCTGCCCTGAAGAACTGGAACTGCTGCTGTCAATGTGGAAAGAAAGTTGTTGTCGGCTGTGCTGCCTCATCACCTGGTAACGCCTGGGGCCAGAAAGGGGTGCAGGCACCAGCAAAGATTCTGGGTCCTTCACAGTACAATGACTTCTGAGTTGGTCCAGCAACATGCCCACTGGGTCCTCCTCTTGGCTTCCAGGAACTATATACACAAAAGCTTGGTTGGCAGGCACAGTAAAGAGGCAGTTGATACTTTGATTAGTCAAGACACGACTCTTCCGGAAGATTCTATAGATCTGGTCCTCCAAGGCATGTTGCAGTCTCCTTTTGGGAGAATGCTTCTTGGGCTTGTCTGGATGAGTTGGGTCTTGGTTCCGAGGGGGTTCCACCTTGAGGGCTCCATTGAGTTGAAAAAGGAAAAGGAGTCTAGGTGGGCAGGGTCGGCAGTTTAGTTTCCAGTCTTTGCCAACTGGACAATCCTTAATGGCTGTTTTGAGAAGAGGCAGTACTTTCTGTCTCAGTCCATCTAGGGCTCTGAATACTCGATCATAAGTGATGTCAAAGGAACAAGTGGGATGTACCAGAAGCAGTATGTGGCAAACGGAGAAAAGGTAAAGGAGGCTGAGGCATTGCAGTTTCTCTTGATGCTTCCAGAACTCGTGCGCTTCAGCATGGGGTAGAGAGAGGCCACCTCCAGCTTCCCCACTCTGAAGGGCCCGACAAGCTCGCAGAAGCTGGGAATTGTCACAGATGGAAGTGAGAAGAAGATAAAGAACTTTACTTTCTTGGTTGTAATAGGCCTGCAAAAGGCTATAGTCCTGGGAGCCTGGTTCAGTTCGATTACCTTCCGCGGCAGCTACACCTCCCCGAACTGGATCCCCGGCCCCAGACCCAGCGTCCCCCGCTCCACCAGTCTCCCCGACTGCCCCAGTCTCGGTCCTGACACGAGGCTCTGGGTCCCCAGGATCCTGGTGGCGAAAAAGAGGAAAGACCTGTCGGTCGCACACGGTGTTCACAAGTGAGAACTTCTCGGAATTCAGTCGCAGAGCCGTCTTGCCAAAGATTCCCACCACGCAGATCTCATCCTCTCGCCAAGGAGGCTCCGGCCCGCCAGCCGAGCTCCCTCCACCCTCAGCAGGGGATCCCTCGGGACTTTCAGTGCCAGTCCAGGCTGAAGCTCCCATTAGAAGCTCTCGCAAGCTGACAGGACCCGCCATGGTGCAGGGACTTCGCTATAGTCCTTCCGGTCCGCTTGATAAACCCAACCGGCTTTCGTCCACTTTTGAAATCCTTCCTCTGATTCCTCCTGCTTCCCTCTGGCTTTAGGTTCCGCCCGGAGCTGCTTCTCTCCTAGTTTCCCCATTCCTGCCCCGCACTGGATTTAAGATTGTCTTTGTTGTGATACCATAGAAACTGAGATATCGAAAAGACAACTGGAAGCGACTACTTTGCATTTCAAGGAATACAAAACAAACAAACAAACAAAAACACTGCAAAAGGGGGAGTGTTAAGTGACTTCCAAAAGTAGAAAAGTAGGTCAGTTTAACCTCTGAAACCTTGCTACAATAGAAGTGTTAATAGTTTGCAGACAGAAAAAGAGAAGCTTCTTAGAAATGCAGAATCTCAGACCCCAATCTAAAGCTACTAATAACACATGCTTGTCAACTAAATCTTGGTGAGTTTTGCACTCACTAAGAAACACTATTTTAGTGTTTAAGTAACACTAACACCATTTTAGAAACATCTCGCGAAGTGAACAATTTTCCTTCTTCTATTCACAAAGAAATATAATTCCTTCACAGCAATGTGAAAAGAAAGCCAGTTCGAAAGGCTCATAGAGTACAATAATCTTACAGGTTTTTTTCAGGTTGAGGAAAATGTTAAACAAATATACCAAAATGTCTAAAATGTGTTTACGTTTTAATTTTTTTAAAGGTTTCTTTATTTATGCATACAAGAACTAGGGTGCAGATCACAGGTGTGGGGGGCGAGGATTCACCAGAGATAGAATGGGGAATAGAACAGGCAAACTGACTGAAATACACTGCTGAGGGGAGCAGTAGGCGAGACAGGAGAGGTCTGTTGTGCCATGTGGGCAGCTCCCTGGCCAGGGATCCAACTCATGCTGCAGTGGCTGCAGGTAGCTTCATAAGCTGCGTCTTAACCCCTTGTGCCACCAGGGAGGCCCAACCTTTTCATTCTTTACTCCCATTGTAACAGGGTGTTCCCCAGGAAAGGGGGAGGTTCCAGGTTCCCTGCCCCACCCAAATGGAGGGTGTAGCTGAGCAGGGAGAGGAGAAGCTGCAGAGGAGACTGAGGAAGGAAGCAGGATGGAGCCATTAGGAGACCTGGAGGAGGCACATGGAGCCGAGAGACACGTGAAGAAACTGCGCTTGTCTTTTGGTCGTGGACTGGGTGACACAGATGTGGGTGAGACCCGTGGGGAGGAGACAATGGCAGCTTTTATCTTGATTTTGATTTTGCTCTTTTCCTTCCGGGCTTGTCTGGTTGTTTCTGACCCTTTTTTGTGGGTCCCCACTGGAAGATGCTTTAGACTTGTGGCAGGCTTTGGGGCCTTGCTCTGGACCAATCCCATTTGGATGGAGTTTTACCCACGAGGTGACGGGTAATTTTGGGTGCTTGATTTAGAAACTAGATTCTTTGCCTTTCCTGTATTGTTTCCTAATTGTATTAAAGTTCCTTCCCATTAAAGTCTCATGTTTTGTGTTAATGCGGTGGATGGCAGAACCCTATATAAAATAGGCAGGTTTGCGGAGTTTGGGCTGCCCCTCTCCCTGCCCTGTAACACCTTTTATTGGCTTTTTTCCTTAAAAATGAGTGGGTTTTGGTTCATAGCAAAATAGAGCAGAAAATTCCCACATACAGTCTGCCTCCAAACACATAGCCTCCAGTATTATCATCACTGCTCCAGAGTGGTATATTTGTTACAATCTATGAGCCTATTTTTTTTTTTAAGAATTATTTATTTATTTATACAAGCACTGGGTACAGTCAGAAGCGCGGGAGGGCGAGAGAATTCACCAGAGCCAGAGCGGGGAGCAGAACAGGCAGACTGATGCAATACACTGCTGAGGGGAGCAGCGGGCGGCAGGAGAGGTCTGCGCGCCATGTGGGACCCTCGCCCGGGAGCCGGGGAGGCCCTATGAGCCTATTTTGATACATCATTATCACACCCAAATCAATTTACATTAGGGTTAATTCTTGATATTGTACTTCCTATGGATTTGGACAAATGTATAATGACATATATCTGTCACTACGGTGTCATTTAAAAGTTTCACTACCCTAAATATATACTTTGCTCTTTCTGTTCCCGCCTCTTTTCCAGGTATCTCCTGGAAACCATTGATCTTTTCTTTTCTTTTCTTTTTTTTTAAGATTTATTTATTTATGCATATAAGACCTGGGGTACAGGCCAGAGATGTGGGGGTGGGGGGGGTGAGAGGATTCACCAGAGACAGAGCAGGGAACAGAATAGGCAGACAGACTGAAATACACTGCTGAGGGGAGCAGAGGGCGAGACAGGAGAGGTCTGCTGCGCCATGTGGATTTCTCCCTGGCAGGCCAGGGATCGAACTTGTGCTGCAGAGACTGTGGATTGCTTCATAGTGCGGTATTTAACCCCTTGCACCACCAGGGAGGCCCTTATTCATTTATTTTTTATTTTTTTAATCTTTTCATTGTTTCCATAGCATTGCCATTTCCAGAATGTCACATAGCCTTTTCAGATTGGTTTCTTTCACTTAAAAAAAAATGCAATTAAAGTTCCTTTAGGTGCCTTCTTTCCCCTTTCCCAGCCCCCCTTCCTTCTTCCCTTCCTTTCTACCAGGTTTATTAGGAAAAAGAAAGAAGATGCCTGCACAGACACAAGCAGGCAGAAAGCTGCAGTGGCCACTCTTTCTGGTCTTTTCATGATTTGACGGCTCATTTCTTTTCTTTTTTTTTTTTTAAAGATTTTAAAGATTTATTTATTTATTTATACAAGCACTGGGTACAGTCAGAAGTGCAGGAGGTTGAGAGAATTCACCAGAGCCAGAGTGGGGAACAGAACAGGTAGAGTGATGAGGGGAGCAGTGGATGCGTCAGGAGAGGTCTGTCACGCCATGTGGGACTCTCCCTGGCAGCAGGGGATCGAACAGGTGCTGCAGAGGCTGTGGGCAGCTTCGCAGCCCAGCACTCAACCTCTGCGCCACCAGGGGAGGCCTGACAACTCATTTCTTTTTCTTGCTGAATAGTATTCCATTATCTGGATGTACCAGCTTATTCATTCACCTACTGTAGGACATCTTTCTTGCTACCCAATTTTGGCAATTATGAATAAACCTGTTATAAAATCTATGTGAAGTTTTTTTGGGGGTGAACAGCTCCTTTTATATTTATATTTATTTTGTAATTTTTCTACAATGAATACTTATTTCAACGTGTAGTAATATTAAAAAAAAACCTTTCTTGAAGAAATGTGGGGGAAGTTTTTTTTTAATTTTTTTTTTGTAAGTGGGGTACAGGCCAGAGTTGCAGAGGGTGAGAAGATTCACCTGAGAGAGCGGGGAGCAGAACAGGCAGATGTACCAAAACATGCTGCTGAGGGGAGCAGCGGGCAAGACAGGAGGTCTGCTGTGCCATGTGGGTCACCTCCCTGGCTGGGGATTGTACTCGTGCTACAGTGGCTGTGGACAGCTTCATAGTGCTACGTCTTAACCCCTTGCACCACCAGGAAGGTCCCCTTGTTTTTATTTCTCTTTACTTTAAAATAGTCAGATGCACCTTGTTGTTTTTAGTCTCTGGTTGTCATTAATTCTCAAACATTGGAAGCAAATGATCAAATATAGTTTAATAAAACTGTAGCATGATAGGATTCCCAAATGGATATAGTATGAAATATGACATAAAAATTAATAAAAGATACTAGGTAGAACATAGGTTAATACTGGTACAATGGCAATAGCAGCTTTATGTATGTTTATCTATAGGGTTTCTATAGCATCTTTTAAAACAAACTTCATTGAACAAGAATGATCAAATTATTTAAATTCAATTGATACAGTACATGTTGGCTTACTAATATAAACACTGTAAGTGTCCTATAAAATATTGTTACAAATATTCAACTGATTTATTCTCAGCAATCATTCCTTTTATTCTTACATAATTAAAAATAGCTAGCAGGTTCTTTAACACTTTTACTCAAAGCAGATGAATCTTAATTTCATTTTCATTCATCAAGGTGTTGTAAACATTACCATGGATCTCATGAAAACAAGACATTGTCTCCAGGTCTGCTTTCTAGACTGGTGACTTTCCATAACACTGTATTTGGCATCTAAAGCAGTATTATCTGTGGAAATGTAGACAGTTTCTGGGAAATTGCTAAATTATCTTTTTTTTAATTTTCATGTAGAAGAACTGGGGTGTAGGCCGCCGGTCATTGGGGAGGGAGGGTGGGGCGTGTGTGAGAGGATTCACCAGAGACAGAGTGGAGAGCAGAAGAGGCAGATTTACTGAAAGACACTGCTAAGGGGAGCAGAGGGTGAGACAGGAGAGGTCTTCTGTGCCATGTGGGTTATCTCCCTGCCTAGGGATCGAACTCAGGCCATAGCAGTGATAGCACTGAGACTTAAAACCCTAAGCTACCAGGGATGCCCTAAAATATCTTTTCAACCTAAGCTAATGAGGGATATTTCAAGAATATCATCTGTGCATCATGTGTTTCATATCAAGCCAGAAGGTTTAGTTAAGCTCGAAAAGCTCTGTTTCCTAACTATGAGGCATTGCTATCCCTATAGGTGACGTTATCAGAATCAAAGCTAATTCTGTACTTTCAGTCACTCTCACCCTAATGAGAGTTACTCCTCCTCTAAGCAACCCAGCACATTAGTGATGGGGATCCTAGCAGAAGTAATAGTAGTATTCAGTGCTAGGTGGACATATCTGACAAATTGGGTACTCCCAGGAATACTTGGCAACTTTGTAGGGGACTGACTGACAGGATTATAAAATTAAATATAGGATGCCCAGTTAAATTTGAATTTAAAATAAATAATGGACATCTTTTAAAGTGTAAGTATGTCCCATGAAGTAGTTAGAACATACTAATGCTAGAAAAAACAAAAAACTTTTCATTGTTTAATGGGGATATATTTATACTTGAAAATTATTGTTGTTTATCTGAAATGCAAATTTGACTGGTGTCATGTATTTATATTTACTAAATCTGGCAATCCTGGACTGGCAGGAAAGAACAAAATCCAGTGATGTGTGCATTATTATATTACTGTTTCTGAATTGACAGGTTGGTAAGGACAGGGAATCAGGTCTCATAGTAAACTTACTTATAAACCTCAGAGAATCATTCATAGAACATTGTGGGAAATACAGGGTTTATGTTGAGTTCTTTATGAAATCTGTATTTAGCTTCAAGAGTGTGGGCAGCAAATTTACAAGTAGGGAATATCTCAGAGTAGTGAATCAGATATAACTACCTACCTGAAATACTAGAAATGATACATTCTAAGGCCTCAATGAAGCTTTTGCTTCAAATTCTTTTGGAAAATAGTTGGATTGGATAGGGGATAGTCTTACTTCTTAATTGTCTATGGTGAACAGAAATCAAATATGGAGTGTCTTTTGTACTGATCAAATTTATAGCACTTAATGAATACATGAGCTTTACATACTGAAATACTTTGCTTCTGAATTACCCAAGAATACCCAAGATGAATGGGAACATTATTTTCTTAATGTCATAAATATACATACAGAGCACAAACTAGATTTACCTAGTTAAATTTGAACAAACTCTGCAATTCAAACTGGGTAATTCCAGGTTAACCATCAATTTGGGGATTGCATTTTTCCATTTCACCTCCTTAATTCTTCAAAAGGAATGATGTATTTGTATACTTATTTATACATACCATACTAATTTAAAAAAGGATTGTAAATATTTTATGTGTATATTTTATGGATCATCAGATGAAATCCAGCAGAGTTGGCATCGGTCTTATTGGTCAAAGTTGCTCGAAGAGAGTGGCAGAGTTTGAGCTGGACTTCTAGGATGAGCCAGCTATTTAAAAAAAAAAAAAAAAAGTACCAATTATAATGTTTCATGTTCCTGTGCCAAACATACCCCTTTTTCTTCCTCATTAATACAACTCAGATTTTGTGTAGGGCAGCAGTGTATCCAGAGTCTATACACCACTTTCCCCACCATCCCTGGAACAATCAGAAGTTCCTGGTTAGGGCCTGTTTAATGAAATGAGAGGTAGTTAGCTAGCACAAATTATTGCCCTTTGCCCTTCTCCTTCTCTTGCCTAAAGTATAAATATCAGCCTTTATGATGTAAAGTTATTCTGGACCATGAAGATAAAAGCTGCATATAAAGGATGGGATTACATGGTGAACTTGCTATGAGTTGCAGACTACCTACTTCCCAAAGGAATATATAAGTTCAAAAAAATAACCCCCCCAGGGCCTCCCTGGTAGCGCAGGCGGTTGAACGCAGCACTGTGAAGCAGTCTGCAGCCTCTGCAGCGTGGGTTCGATCCCGGCTGGCAGGCAAGATACCCACATGGTAAGGCAGACCTCTCCTGTCTTGTCCACTGCTCCCCTCAGTAGTGTATTTCAGTTGGTCTGCCTGTTCTGTTACCTCTCTGTCTCTGGTGACTCCTCTCACCTTCCCGCACATCTGGATAAACTACTATAGTCAGATTTCTGCAGTGAAGTGGAAAAAAAAACCTTATCTAATAGTTGCTTAACAATTAAAGAAAAAAATGGAAGCCTAAGGGCTAGGTGGGGAAAGACGTTCTATGTATAAGTTTCCACTAGATAACATCCCAGTAAGTGGGTTTCTCTGAGCACAACATATGACATAGGTCTCACCGGTGATTTTTATTGTTTTGCTCAAAATATAGGTTTGTTATTTATTATATTCTCATATGTTAACAAATTACCAAATCCATAATAGTAGTTGTGGGGTGGGGCAGGAGCAAAAAGGACTCTAGAACTCAACAAAGAAAGGAGGTGCTTAGTCTTTTAATTAGGCTGCTGCCCCCCATAATTTGTGATATCACCAAGAACATAACCTGGAGTCAGTCTTTTATGCTTCAAAAGGAGGTAAGAAGAACCTGGTCATACCTCCAAAGAAGGCCACATAGTACCTAGGAGGACCAAATAGTTTGGCAAAAAGGAAATGAAACTGCCCTGCAAAAGGCACTGATACTTAATAAGGGAACGAAGGGAAGGCAGTGTGGGATGGGAGAGTAGAGTCTGTAGTGTGTTTCTGCTGCCAGCGGAAGTGGAAATGTAAGTTTCATAGCCAAAGAGGCCCATGGCCTTGGTGCTAGTACTCTAGCTGGATGGTAGAAGAAAAGGTGTTCTTCACAGATCCAATGATAGAGGTAATCATGGAGATGACTGAGACAAAAAAATGTTTGGAAGAATTAACACCAGGGTCAGTAAAAATATGCCTAAGGGATTTGGTGTGGAGGTCATACTTGCAGGTGACAAAGAAAAAAACTGCTAAGATATTTTCCTATCAACCCTGCATGAACAGTTTCCTATCTACACCTGTCTTTCACCATTATCAGGCTCATCTCTTTGTTATAGCCACTATGGCTCTTTGTCAGTTCCTTACATGGGCATGATCCTTCCTACCATGAGACCCTTGCCTGTGCTATTCTTTTTACCTGGAATTTGCTCCTCCCTGACATCTAAGGTGGGCCCACCCCCACATTCCATAGGTGCCCTTCCCAGTTAATGCCTGTTCATTTCAGTTCCCACCTTGTCTCTTCCTAAGGGAATCCTTCCTGGATTATCTAGGTTAAATACCTCTGTTAGTTCCCACAAGAACCTAGTTCTTTTCCTTTACATCACTTATTTTAGTGTAAAATTACACAAATATATGATTATTTGATTAATGTCTACTTTCTCCACTAGAATGAAAGCTCTAAGACAGTAGATTTGTGTCTGGTCTAGCTTACTATGATATCCCAGCTACTCCAGCACAATGTCTGGCAATTAGGAAGTGCTTAGTAAATAATTACTAAAGGAATTAATAAAACCAAACATTCATTTCTAAAGTAGAGATAATAATGCTATCTATTTAATAGAAAGTGATGTAAAATATAAGGTATCATTTTAAAAATATTATTAAGAAGGTAGCTTTAGATTATAATTCTAAATAAATGATTTTGAAGAAAAGAAACCAAAATTTCTTTTTCTAAAGGCTTACTTGAAACTTTTTCTTCAAGGCTCGGGTCATTACTGGGGTCAGTCCAGTTCCTGTTTCCATATTTTCTTTATTGGTAAGTGGTGTTCCACCTGGGCTTCTGCAAAGGTATTAAAGATATGAGGAGCAATGTTTTAGTTTTATTTTTTTTAATATTTTATTTATTTATTTTAAATTTTTTATTTATTTATGCATACAAGAGCTAGGTACAGGCAGGAGGTGTGGGTAGGTGAGAGGATTCACCAGAGACAGAGTGGGGAGTAAGACAGGTAGATTGACTGAAATACACTGCTGAGGGGAGCAGTGGATGAGATATGAGAGGTCTGCTTCGCCACATGGGTTGCTCCCTGGCCAGCCGGGGATTGAACTCATGCTGCAGAGGCTATGGATTTCTTCACAGTGCAGTGCTTACCCCCTTGTACCACGAGGGAGGCCCTTATTTATTTATTTTTGTGTAGAAGAACTAGGTCTAGGGCAGAGGTGCAGGGGGCTAAGAGGATTCATCAGAGACAGAGTGGAGAGCAAAACAGGCAGATTTACTGAAATACACTGCTGAGGGGAGCAGCGGGCCAGACAGGAGAGGTCTGCTGTGCCCTATGTGGGTTAGCTCCCTGACCAGGGATGGAACTCAGACTTAACCCCTAGGCCACCAGGGAGACCCAGGGAGCTGTGTTTTATGCCAACTTGTCAAATTAATTTTGAAAGTATAAATTAACATAAGGGTATATTACCTCTCCACATTGACTTTCCTAAGTAGTTTCCGCAGATCTATTTGACTTTTACTAGGAGTACTGATAAAATAAAGATATAAAAGTTAGTTTACCAAATTTTGTTATATTCCCCAAAGTAAAGCAGTCATTTCCATAGGCAACATCCTAGAAATTAGTTCTAGTTGTTACATTAAAAAGTAGCAGTAAATGCTGATAGGGGTATAAAGTGATATAATCATCCTAATAGGTAATACTTCTTGAATTAGTAATTATTTATAAAAGAATCCATCTTAGAGAAAACTCAGCTATGAATATAAATGATGGACAAGTATGTTCATAAAAGAGTTATATAAATAAAAAATCATAAACAACTTAAATGTCTCAAAATAGGATTTTATCTATGAAATTTACATATAATGAACTATATATATATTGCAGGACTCAAAATAATGTTTTAACTAATTTTTAATAAGATGGAGAAAAGTTCATGACACATAAGTGAGAAAAGTTCTAACTCTACAATATGATTTCATGTAGATATATACACACATATGCATATCATATTTCCTTGACTCCAAGACATGCCAGTTTTCATATTTTATTATTTCTGAAATCAGGCTGCCTTTAAAATAAAATATAAAATGTTTATAGTAACTACCCCTCTGTTATCAAATCAATGGTATATTTTATAATAAACAAGTATACTCCTAGGAAAATACTAGAATGATAAACAATAGTATGTTAATAGTAGCTATTTCCAATGTTAGAATTATTTGGATGATTTTTATTTAAACTTTTCTGTAGATTTCAATTTTTCAATGAGCCTATATATATATATATATAGCCTTTTGTTATATAACTCCCCGCCTGCCCCCTTCCCCAATCATTCCTTTAAGTAGCAGTAGAGTATGACATTATACAGTTCCTTACATTAAGACATTTGTAACTCGAGTTGATAACACTTTGGAGTTGGGTTTCAGAGTAACCTGTTGCAGGTCAGAGACAGTAACTAGTGGACTCCGTGCCTTCGGTGATGTTACAAGCTTGAATTATAAAATGAGATGTTATTAAAAAAAATTTTAAGCATTTAAAATGTAAACATGCTTAAAAACAATGAATATTTGAGTGCTCAGTATGTGTAAGATCTATCCAGTGTACTCACTACTCAATTTTTATTCAAAAATATATCTCTACCTGTTCAGACTAACACTGGTTGGTAGATAAAACTGCCTAATGAAATAAATATGGAAGCTATACATTTTGTTGTGGAGATGCAAAACTACCCAAATAAAAGAATACTTTGAATGACTTGTATATATAAAACTTAATTTTTTTTCATAAAGACAACCAGGTTAAGAGCTGAAAGTCATGTTTATGGTCAATAATATCTTACCTTTTTCCTTTCATCAAAATTCTGTATCTTCTTTAATTTCACAGTAAGTAAATCTTTAACTGTTATCTGCATTGGTGCATCTTTTTTTAATGGTCCGGCCTTAAGATATATGGAGATGTTAGAATTCAAACTGGAACCATGATATCTAGCCAAATCCAAATCTAATCTTTGAAGACTTAAAAGTTAACTATCCTTTACCCTAAGAACCTATCACATTCTTTCAACTACACCAAGAATGGTCCATTTTCAGAACCGATGCTTGTTAAAGCTATGAAAAGGAAGTTACCAAAATGTAAACTTTGATAGTAAATAAGAGACGGACTAGTTCCCTAGGACTATATATTTTCCTTAGGGTCATTACATAAGACAAGAGTTGAAGAGCTTTTCAAATCAAACTGAAGTTCTGCCTACACTACCTTAAACAATGCCTCAGTTCACATAGAGCAAGAATACATGGTTGAAGAAGCATACTTTAGGACAAATGTAACAATAGGCCCTGAATAGAAATCAGACATTTTAAGTCAAATGTATCTGTAGTGAAAACTTAGCAGATTTTTAAAAAGGACTGTACCTATCTTAATGATTCACAAATATTCTGGTCCCCTTGGCAGATAAGAAACTCTTATGAAGATTGGTTTTCCATCCTAATGAAATTCTCTAGGATCCACCAACTCTTTCCCTCTGACTTCATTCATTAAGTCATTTTCTGTTCTTAATTTGGTTTCCCAGGGAGGTTTTCCTTTTGGTAAAAGATAAGCTGAGAAGTTGGCAGGAATCTTCCATCCTACTGGGCTTCATTTATTTAACCTTTAAAAAAAGATCATTTTCATTTCTGACACTAGCTTTTTTGAATTCCCAAGGGACTGAATTTTAAAAAACACAATAACTGGCATAATTAAGGTATGGCAGTAGAACAAAATATATGTTTCCTGTCAAAGCTTTGGGCCCAGCCTTCAAAAGCCACCTGGCTTTACTTATATATTACACACTGACCAAAAAAAATCTTTACTAGATTGCTTCCTACCTGAAGTGCTTTGGTGAGATTGGATTTTCTGAGCAGCAAAGGTGCTATAGGTGCTGGAGGAGGAGGGAGAGGAGGAGGTGGAGGTGGTGGAGGTGGAGGAGGAGGAAGGCTTGTTGACTGTGGCAGGGTGGGAGGAAGTACAGTGCAGGATTCTCCAGGGATGGTTACAGCATTGGCAGGAACATTTGTGAGTTTACCACTCATGTGACACGTTTGACCACAGGTTGAACAGGGAGATTCTGAGATGGTCTGGAAGAAGACATTTTATTTGATAATGAATAACAGATTAATTTGGTTCTTGCAGCTGAGAGTTATCAAAGTAATAGCTACCATGTATTGAGTACTTTGTCATTTTACTATATGCTTTATATTATTTTCTTATTATCACAAACTCATTCATAACTCCTATATTTGCTCTGTGTGTGCTATATGCCAGGCACTATGGATTTAATGTCAGTCCTGTCTGTTACTTCATCGGCTTGACAGTCTGGTGAAGAAAACAGACATTAAACACACACAAATACACTTCAAACAAGAGAAAAATACTCAATGAAAGTCAGAAGTTTGCTGTGAACATGATGGTGAGTACTAGTAGCAATAACCATAATCTCAAGGATGAATTGAAACTTCTCAGGGAAGGCAAAGAGAGTTCCCAGTAGTAGGAAAAATAATGTAATCAAGAATACAGTGTATTCAAGGAAGTGATAAAAAGGCCAAAGGCTAGAACATAACCACTATAGGCTGAATTTTTTTTTTCAAAGATTTATTTATTCATGCATACAAGAACTAGGGTACAGGCAAATGTGTGGGAGGGTGAGAGGATTCACCAGAGACAGGATGGGGAACAGAACAGGCAGACCAACTAAAATACACTGCTGAGGGGAGCAGTAGGTGAGACAGGAGAGGTCTGTTGTGCCATGTGGGTATCTCCCAGGCTGGCTGGGATCGAACCTGCGCTGCAGAGGCTGTGGACAGCTTCACAGCGCTGCGCTCAACTGCATGCACCACCAGGGAGGCCCAGGCTGAATGTTTTTTGAGAATCATCATTCATCCCACTACCAGTGGCATTACGCCATTCTATAGATGCCAAAACTGAGGCCTAAAGAAGTGAGGTGATTTGCCTTTTCTCCTCTGGCTGGTTCAACTTGAAGCATAAATTCTGGGAGTAGGAGTGTAATCCCAGAAGCTTTTCTCCAAAAACTAAATAATGGGTACAATATTTATTCTTTGAGCTTTTGACATTGAGAATAAGGGCCTTATTTAGGAGAGTTAAGAGAAAATGGATATTTACAGGTTTTTTTTTCTGCCTATATAAGTTAAGAAAATAGAAATCAGGGCCTCTGGGATTAAGCACTGCACTATGGGGCGGTCCTCAGCCTTTGCAGCATGGGTTCGATCCCCGGCTGGCTGGGGAGCAGCCCACGTGGCGCAGCAGACCTCTCCTGACTCGCCTGCTGCTTCCCTCAGCAGTGTACTTCGGTCAGTCTGCCTGTTCTGTTCCCCACTCTGTCTCTGGTGGGTCCTCTTACCTCCCGCATCTCTAGCCTGTACCCCGGCTCTTGTATGCATAAATAAATAAATCTTAAAAAAAAAAAAAAAAGAAACTCGAAATCAGCCTATATATTTAAAACAGGGTGAATGTAATACAGGGAATTGGTTATACTGCTGATGGAAGAACTCAGACACACATAGGCAACAGTGGAGGCAGTCCAGAAAATAGAAACAGCAGAAAGCCGCAAACGTCTTGATACTGGAGGACAAAAGGACGAGCAGTACAACCAAATCTTTGGAGCTGGGTTAGCCCCAAGATTCAAGAAACATGGTGGATTTACGTAGTGGGATCTGGAGTTAGGAAGATAACAACAACCATTCTTATAACAACCAATGCAGAGAATGAAGGGAAAAAACATTCAATTTCTCCTCCCTCTACTCTCTCATCAGTGACTCCCATTAGTCCAGCACAACCGGCAACCATGTGACAACCAGGACCTTGGGAAATACAGCTTGCAGGGGTCCACCCCCCTATCACATGGAGCAGAACCACTGAAGTTCAAAGAATAGATCTGAGGGCCTAACAACCACCTATAGTCATTTCTGTTTCTAATAGAAGCATGCTGGGGGGAGAGAACCATCCCTTCTTCCTTAACTATTTCCTGATTTGCTTTTTATTAGACAATACCAACCTTCAGTGCTTCCTGGAGTTTGCATAATTCACTTTCCAAAATGCAAAACCGTTGTTTGAGACTGTGAAGTTCTCGGTGGCAGAAACGAGATGGAAGGATAGCATCTTTGACGAATTCTAAACTCTTAAATGCAAAAATAAATAAGCTTGAATTTTGGGCAATATGATAGGAACAAGAAAAAGGGACAAGTGGTTTGATGTGAGTTTTGTAGAATGAAAGCTGACATGACCTCATAATTTCATCTTATTTGAGCTTAGCCTAAGTGCTGTGCTAGCCTAACATGCACACACACATTAACACATGTAGAAAGTGCGCAGGAAAACTGTATTACAGAGAGCAGGGATGGGAAATACATACCTGGGCTATGCAGTTCTGGCACCAGTTGTATAGAGACCATACTCTATTTACCCAAAGTTTTTTTGCATCCTTGATGCTGGGAAATTTGAAGTTCCAGGATGATCTTAACCAGCTTCTGTTAAGGGGTATATCTATTGAAGAAATAACCACTCTGTAGGAAAAACAAAACCAAAGAAATTAAACACTTCTAGCCTCTCTAATCAAACTAGTATTTTTTTTTTTTTTTTTACTTTCTTGTTCTCCTTCTACCTTACATTACCATGATTCTCCCAAATAAGTGACAAGGAGAATATAGGGACAATTGTAGAAAAGCTACTTTGTGCCAAGCATTGTGATAGGTAACTGGCATAAATACTCCTTCATGGTGAAAGCCAATAGTATATTTTATTTCAGGAAAGAAACAAGAAATCACAAGACTCCGGAAGCTATTACTTTCAATAAGAGTCCCTGTTTGCTGAACTGAGGAGTGAGTGTGAAAAAGAACCTTTAGTCACTAGAAAAAAAGCCAGTGAGACTGTTCTTTAGTGTGTTTTTATATGTGTGGGATGGAGAATAATTTCATGGAAAACCACCAGATTTCTGATTAAATAAGCTAGCTTTATAATATGGGTCAGGAGCAAAGAGTATCTAGAGCCAACTTCTTCATTGAGTTCTGGGATTCATTTACTCAACAAGTATTTGTTGAGTAAGTAAATACTAATAAGGAATATACGATATATACAATAGGAATAGGAATTAGGGATTAACTAATGAATAAAATAAACAAAATTCTGGCCTCATGGAATTTACAGTCAGGAGAAAATAGTTACTATGTACCTCCAACACAATTTCTTTGTTTGAATTCTTAAAGTATGGCTTTCAGGATGCTCAGTTAAAGGTTAAACAATTTTTAGTATAACACTACATTGCAAAGGTTACATGAGACAATATTACACATTGTTTATTGTTTATCTGAAATTCAAATTTAACTGGATATTCTGTATTTTCATTTGCTAAATCTGAATCATATTTTTAATATTTTCTCCGTTTTACTTTGTGCCTTACCTTTCAGGTGAGGGTGGTGGAGGGGGGGATATAATTAGCTTGGATTGAATGTGAGAGGGTTCCTTTTTTTTGAATAATCTTTTGGCTCGGGCTTTTAGTTTTCTTCGCTGTTTGAACTTGCGCATGGTTTCTGTAAAAGTTAAAAAATTATTGAAGATAATATACACATATAGAAATAAGTATATAGTTCAATACTTATAGTTCACAAAGTGAACACAGTCTTGTAACAGCTACATTGGTTAGGAAATAGGTCACTATGCGGTATCTTAGAAGTGGAGAAAAATTAAAACCTAAGCTATTTTAGGAGAGACTTTGGTTCTAATTTTGTTGTGTGTCTTGCTTTACTTCATTAAATCAAGAGAACTTTTCTTTCTTAAAACAAAGAAAATGGGATAGTCAGCTTATGGTCAGTTATTAAAGAAAAATAAGTTTCTTTGCCAGGAGCTTTCAATGTAACAAGTGAAATTGGTGTTGGAAGAAACAAAATTAACCATTTATTGAATGCCCATTCACTTTCAGGTACTTTAACATATATTTGCTCAGTTAATTATCTGAATCCTATAAGGTATCCCTGAAAAAGAGAATTTTTATTCCTATTTTTATATAGGAATAAAAGTTATAAACTGAATAACTAAATAAATAAAAGAATAAACTGAAGTTTAGAAAGATTAGATGACTTGCTCAATGCAATGAAGTATGAAGATGAGACATGTAAGTCTCCAAAGACCATGTTTTGTCTAATGCATTGTGCTATAATGGCAGATAAATAGTTGATGTACAGGTAATAACAATTATCCCAACTTTAACACATGGCTGCTTCAAAATATTTACTTTAAAACATTTTAAAATATGATGTAGTATATTTATATTTTAATCCAGATCTTTTTCTGAAGAAAAATAAATCAGAGACAGTGTACTGTGAAGCTCCTGAAGGCTGTGCTGGTTTTAGTTGTGGCTACCTTAGGAACAAAGATGTCCTTATTTCAAGGAACAGAACTGAAAATGGTCTCAAGGGTTGGGCCTCCTTCCCTTCAACTTTCTTTGAATAGGAACAATCAGCCTTTTAAGTACACATTCATTCCACTTTTATTCACCCAGTAACTTTCATGCACTTGGTATGCAGCTCTACACTTGCTCAGCTCTCAGATTCCACTGGTTAGCACTGCTCCCCTCCCATCCTCTGGGTTGTAAAAAAACAGAACTGGCTTAGTTCCAAGAGCTTTGAACTTGCAAAGGGAACTCCTAATGACAATAGGTGGCAATGTATATGTCAACAGCCTTTCTAGGAGTAAAAGTTATTGATAGTATTTTTTGAACTGCTAGGTCTCAAATTAACAGAATAATTTTATTTATTCCTAGAGACTTTGGAGATATGCTAAAAAATAGTTACCTGATTCACCTTTAGTATATTACTTTTCTTCCTACTGAAATAATGAAAAAGGCCAAACAAGGATTATCAAAAACAAAAGATGTTTAAAGAATTGATTAATTCTTAAAAAAAAATTAACACAAACCAAAAATACTCTGAAGGAAAATATATAAAAGCTTCAGGAAGCAGCAACCTGTACTGAAGAAAAGGCTAGACCTCATCAAATACATGCCCACAATCTACTGTGGAGAAATGTCACTGGAAACCTCCATCCAAGATCCAGGGTTCATTGGTGGGGATCCTCAGAATCCAACACTACCCTGGTAACTTCTCTTTTTTGTCTTCCATCTGTCCCTGCACAGCCTTCCCCACTTACTGCTCCCTCTCTCCCCTGGAAGTCTTGTCAGAGATCAAACTGACTCAGAAAAGTGACCTCCTCATTCTATTTTTTCCTATACTCACCGATCCCTAAGTTACGAAAGTAGACTTTAGAATGGAGCTGGATACCAGGTTAAACTCCTCTCCAGTAGTGTGCTGGGATTGACAGCAACTGTTGCACTTTCAAGACCTCTGTGAGTCATTTGTTAAACACATCTACCAGGGCCTCCCCGGTGGCGCAGCGGTTGAGCGCTGGGTTGCGAAGCTGCCCGCAGCCTCTGCGGCGCCGGTTCGATCCCCGGCTGCTCCCCGGCCACCGGAGGAGGGTCCCACATGGCGCGCAGACCTCTCCTGCCGGCCCGCTGCTCCCCTCAGCAGTGTACTTCGTCAGTCTGCCTGCTCTGCTCCACGCTCTGGCTCTGGTGAATTCTCTCACCCTCCCGCGCTTCTGACTGTACCCAGTGCTTGCATAAACAAAACAAACAAACAAACCAGCAAAACAAATAAATAAAGCATGCCTCTAAAAAAAAAAAAAAACAACAACAACAAAAAAAAATAAACACATCTACCATTAGAATTAAATTACATAATTTGAAATTAGACAATTTATACTTTAAAAAGTAATAAAAATATAAAACTCATCACTTCCTACTGATTTTACTATTACCTATACTCATGATGTTGATTACCTAGATAGTGAAAATGCTATAGGATGGTGTATTACTTTTGACTTCTTCCCAGTTGCATAATTAGTGACTTCAAATCATACTACATCTTCACATAGTTAAGAGATGGGTCAAGAACTATTTCTAGTAGGAGATGCAATAAGAGTGAGAATCACAAGCTTCTGCAGGAGTTGGCACTGCTGTTTTTGTTAAAACCCCACCCTGTGATATGAAAAGTGCTTGCTGAAAGGGACACTTCCAAAGCTGTGGCAACATAAATGACAATTGCATTTCATTATCATCTTTCCAAAACATTTTATGGCACTGTCTTACTCTCCCATAAACAGCTTCAGTTTAGTAGTCAATTTCCATTACCAGTTTAATTGATTACGCTTGAACATCTGAGGGCTATTTCTGGTACTCGCTTATATTTAATTTTATGTTTTATGCTGAGCAGCATTTTATTTCTTTAAAGAGACCGCAACTTCCTAAAGCCTTGTGTAATACAGTATTTGAGCAAAGTTTAAAAACTGACACTCTCACAGAGTAGGAGGACATTAAGACTATGTCAAGGAACATAGTAACACTTCCGACAAAAAGAGTATGTTCTCACACCTTAATGTGCAAAAGAATCACTTGGGGAGTCAAGAGAGGACGAGAGGTACAGAATTCTTGTTTAAAAAGCTCACTAATTTAGTATGCCTAGGTAAAGCCCCTTACTTCGCATTTTAATTTTTTTTAAAGATTTATTTATTTATTCATACAAGAGCTGGGGTACAGGCCAGAGGTGTGGGGGGTGAGAGGATATTTCAGAGACAGACTGGGGAACAGACAGGCAGACTGACTGAAATACACTGCTGAGGGGAGCAGCGGGCGAGACAGGAGCGGTCTGCCGGGCCATGTGTGTAGCTCCCTGGCCTGCTGGGGATCGAACTCGTGCTGCAGAAACTGCGGACAGCTTCGCAGTGCTGTGCTAACCCCCTTGCGCCACCGGGGAGGCTCAACTTCGCATTTTTAACAAGTCGAATTTTTAACAAATGAGGCAGGACCACACTTTGAGTAGCAAAGATGTAAAGGAAGGTGCCAAAGGTGCCAAAGTAAGATAAATGCTTTGCCCCAAGACATATTTCGCAGAGTGTTAATTAGATAGAGGTCTGGTCAGAGTAGAGCCAGGCGGAGCACCCTTCCCCAGCTTCACCCCCTTCCGGGCTCCGTCTCCCCTCAGAACCCCCGTCCCCACGTCCGTAAACCGTAAGAAAACAACGAAAAGTAACGGTCCCAGGGACGGAAGACGCGAGTCCAGGTAATAAAGGAAAATGTTCTTGCACTTACTAGTCTAAGAGCTCGGGGATTAGATGGAGTCCCGTCAGCTGTTTCTCTCTCTCCATAAAGAAAAATTCAAAATTAAAACTTCATCAGAGACGGACCAATGGGTTGCACGGACCCCCTGCGATTCGCTCTCCCGGTCGCGTAGTCGCACAATCTGGCGCGTGATTGGTTGACGTAGTACTACACTCCGACCAATTAGAGCCGAGGCGCTTCTTGTATGAATAAGTGGAAGGCGGGAGCGTAGGGGTGGGGAGGCTAGAAAGAAGGTGTGTCGCGTCCCCAAAGCTGTTTGTGCAAGCGTTTGTGTGATTGGTTCACTCTTTTTCGCCTTTCGCCAATCGTAAGCTCGCCTCTGTGGAGTCCTCGCCGTCAAATTGAAAGTAGAGAAGCGGGTCCAGTCAATGGAAAAAAAGGAGTGTACCATAGCCAATCCTCCTACAGCGTTTTGTGTTTTTGTCCAATACGAAGACGTGTTTCATGCGGAGGGGCGTTACCCAGTCGCCAATGGGCGGGTGCTGGCGAAACGGGGGAACCAATGAGTGCGAGACGATGAGTGACAGCTGTCCAATAGGGACCCTCAGTGCTAGTACCGTTTGCAGCTTAAGCGCCGCCGCGGCCTGAGGAATGTCAACTATTCAACATGGAGGCGGAGGTCGATAAGCTGGAACTGATGGTGAGTGTAAAGTGAGGGGGATCTCCTGGATAATTTCTATTTTTCCGATGGCCTCCAAGGTGGGACGTAACTTGGAGTCGCTGGAAACCCTGGAAGGCGAAGGCTGGACCGGACCCGAATGCTCTCCTTCAGCACCAAAGGGAGTCGCCGCCGCTGGTCTCTTTTAACCGCCTCGGGGGAAGGGGTTACATCCGGGAAACTCGTGAGGGAAATGGCGGGAGATGCTGAGGGTGCGGGCTTTTGGAATTCCTTGTTCCTTGCCCTCCCCTTTCCACCCCTCAAGAAGCTGTGGCTGATGAAGACAGCTTTCTGTGTATTTCCACCAAAAAGACGTGACTGGAAGGGTCCCCAGACACCCCAAGAAGGGGAGAGGTCGTTCACACCTCTAGAGAGGAGCCTGGGGTGGGGGGTGGGGAACAGATTCGGGGGGTGGGGGGGCCGCGGAGAGAAATCTCTTAGGGCTGAGCCATTTCTGTTCTCCCAGGCGGAATGAGAAAGTCAGGAAGAATGCTAGACTTGCTTGCACAACTTACTACGGTCAGGAAGCCCCTACCCCAGTTTCTGGTTTGCCCGGAGGTTGCAGTCCTTGGGTTGGGCCAGCTGTGAGCCGCGGGGATCTGCACCACGAGCCGCTTTCCTGGAGTGCAGGCGGGATTGGATCGAGGCACGCGGCTCTCCAGTTGCCCAATTTCATTCATTTGTGAAAGTAGTGGGCGGAGGCGAATAATTGGAAAGGATTCTCGCAGCTGCTTGGCCTGCACTAGGGCGCCAAGCTAGAGTCTGGCTGTCCTAGTTTCTTTCTACGGATCCTTCCTTCACTTGTCCTCCTTGTTTCCTGCCTCCTGTCCTTAGACTACTAGCTCTGTTGCCGCACTTTCTTATCTTTTTAGCTCCCCTTTTTTGTCTTCAGCTTTTCTTACCACCGCTGCATTATCCATTTTTTGGATAGAGATGACTTCCTTTAAAACGGGGAATTTGGAGGAAACCTGTCTTTGAACTCCTATTGGGTTTTTGGTAAAGAAAATTAGGATTAAGTAAAAAAGTCAGAATCTTCTGCAATCCAGCTCTCCTCCTCCTCTTATTCTCTGACACTACTCCTTAGTTATCATTTGTGCCTGTGCTGCTTTCCCCAAGCTGAATCTTAACATCTACACGTGTAGTGAGTGATTCTGGAAGAAATTCCATTCCTGATCAGCCCCATTCCCATCCCAGAAAATGTGAGAACATGACCTAGCCTATTATTTTCTTGTGATGTTTAGTTGATTGTAATGCCTCATATACAGATATAACTTGAAGACCTTCCATTTGTTCAAACCTTTTTAGTTTTAATTTTCTTTGTTGTGGGAGGGGGGGGTGGAGAAAGAGAGAATTGGGGGAGGGGGATGGAACCGAGGACAGAAGAATTTTCTGCAGCTTCCAAACCAGTAATAATGAACTTGATGTTCCAAGTTTTGTTATTTATATCTTTTTCTTAAAAAACACAAACCAAAAACATTTTAAGAGTAGTTTGATTCTATCAAAAGGCATAAATGTTAACACTGTCTTGCCTTTCTCCTCCATTCTGAATTCCACCTAGATTGATATTTCTGCCTAATTGTAAAATATAAGTGATACTGATTCTGCTTTTAATATTTCCCCCACTCAAATTAGTTTTTTAATTTTAAGGTACCTATTAAACCTTTTCTGGTCTGTGCAATCAAGTCATTCTTACAGGACTTTTTCAGATTGAACACATTTTAAGGGGAAAAGCATTATATGTATATCTTGGAAAATGTGGGTTTTGAAAAATTATGAGGTATAAACCAGGCACTTAAACTTTACTGTTTTGTTTGCCTTAAGTTATTATTTTGTTTACATAATCATTAGGGTTAAAAAAATATGTTGGAACTATTGTGATAGTTTTATTAGGACTGCTTTGTAGTGATTGGGTTGTCTCATACTCAGATTTGCTATGTGCTTTTTAGGAAAAAATGATGTTTCTATGAACTGGTTTAGTTTCTAAGATTCTAAAGGTAAATGATTTCTTGTTCAGGCCTCTGATTTTTGGCTTTACACTACTTAAATAAACGATTCGTTTAAGAACCTATGTTGAATAGCTAATAAATGAAAGAGCATTCATATGATGTAGCCTTGGAAAGAAATACCCTAATTTTGTAGAGATAGTCTGATTCTCTTAATTTAAAACTATGTCATAATTTGTTACTTGTATTAACTTCTAATTCAGAAAATAAAACATTTGACTTTTAAGTACTTATTTTTACAACTTAGCATTTTTTAAATAATACAGTATCTGAGTTATATGGCCCACAACTAGAGGTCAAAACATTCACATTCCAGCTGTCCTCAATGTGAGACCGTTTCACAGTAGTCTCAGTCCAACTAAGTAGCAGAACCAGAGCATCTAAAGGAAGGCTAGTGAAAATAATGGAAAATATTTTTGCATCAATCAACATTATTAATGGCATAAGAAGTTCATTGTAGGGTAATCTTTCTTCTCTAACTTTTTTTCTTTTTTTTTACTTTTCACTTGTTTTCTTTGAGAGTCTTACTCAAAAGACTTGTTCTATATGGCAGTTGATTAATTATAATGGAGGAGCAAACCAACAAATCTAAGCACAACAAAAAATATTTTTCATGACTTTGCTGTAGTAGTAATTATAACCGGTTTTGTTAATACCAGTTTTAAGGTATTGGCAATACCCACTTAATAATATATGAAGTTTAGAACACATTTAAAAAATTCCTTTCTCTATCTATGCATGTTTCTATTTGGAGATACATTATAAGTTAGTCATGAAAAAACAATATCCAAATGATATTTAAGTCCTATTCTTTTTTTTTTCTTTTTAACATTGATGTAAATGTTCTTAGGTTTTGGATATCTTCTGTCCAATATGGCAACCCTACTTTAAATTATTTTCACACTGAAGCTTCAACTGATCTAAGATGCTTTTGTGATCCTTACCTACCTATTACTGCTAACGAATGCTCTGACTTTATTGCACTACTGTACTTTACAGCTAGCAGTGCAATAGTATTGTCAAAGCATCTGAGAGCAGGATGGACACCAGAATTTTGTTCTTACCTTACATCTTTCTTCAATATCTGTGAGTAATTTATCACAAACTTTGTTGCTGAAAACTATATAGTGTTCTAAAAAAATGTTTTAGAAAGTCAGAATTTGAAAAAAGCTTAAATTAAAAACTCACTACGGAAATGCATTATGAAACACATTGAGTAAATATTTTTTGTACCTAAAGTTGTTAAAGTTTACATCTAAAGTTGTCTAGATGAGCAGTATACTTTGTAATTTGTCTCTTCTTTAATTTAGTTTTCTATAACTAAGATTTAGATAGGTTCTGGGAAATATCAGGTTTTATTTAATCAAGTGTTAAGATAAATTCAAAAGTGATGAAAACAATCTCTCCTCTGTATTTCCTATGGTAACGTTCCCCAAATTTTAATTGATGTTACTTTTTTGCATTGTGTAAGGAATGTTTGAATTTAAAACTTATGAGTGCTTGCTTTAAGGTTCCTTTTTGTAAATGTAAGATGCCATGAGGTGTGAATCTCACATTTTTTGGTAATCAGTTCATTAAGATAATTTCCATACAGTAAAACTGTATGGTGTATAAGTTGATAAATTTTGACAGATGTGTCCAGTTATGTAACTATCACCACAATCATGATATAGAACATTTCCATTATCTTAAAAAGGCCCTAACAGTCCCTTTGCAGTCAACCTTCTCCCAAACTCCCTGGCAATGACTGATATGTAGTTCATATGAGTAAAGCCATCTGTAACATACAATCTTTTGTGTCATGCTTATAGCACTTAATGTAATTGTTTTGAGATTAATCCATGTTGTTATATGCGTTCATAGTTGTACCGTTTTTATTGCTGAGTAATATTGCATTGCATAGACTATCACATTGTTTATCCATTCACTGTTTTATGAACTTTGGGTTGTTCCAATGTTTTTTGCCTGTTATAAAGTTGTTATGAACATAGGTATAGTCTTTGTGTGTATATGCTTTCCTTTATCTTGGGTAAATTCTGAGGAGTGAGATTGCTAGGTAGTGTGATAAATATCTTCTAAGAAACTGTTAAAAGCTAAATATTAGGTTTCTACTTTCTCCACATCCTCACCAACACTCGGTATTGTCAGTGTTCTGCATTTTAGCCATTCTAATAAGTGTGTGGGTATCTCATTATAGTTTTAATTTGCATTTCCATAATGACTAATGATAATGAACATAATTTCATATGCTGGTATATCTTCTTTAATGAAATATATATTAAAAATCTTTACCTATTTTCAAATTGAGTTGTCTTTCATATTGTAAGGTATTTTGCAGTTTTCATTGCATAGGTCCTATTCATACAGCTTTTTAATATTCTGTTTAGTATGATTTCTCCTCCTGCTGCGCTCTCTCTATTTTTTTAAAGATTTATTTATTTATGCATAAGAATTGGGGTACAGGCCAGAGGTGTAGGGGGTGAGTGGATTCACCAGAGACAGAGTGGGGAGCAAAACAGGTGGACTGAGTGAAATACATTGCTGAGAGGAGCAGCGGGCTAAACAGGAGAGGTCTGCTGCGCCATGTGGGTAGCTCCTAGGCTAGGGATCGAACCTGTGCTGCAGTGGCTGCAGACAGCCTCATAGAGCTGTGCCTTAGCCCCTTGCACCACCAGAGAGGCCCGCTCTTTATTTTAAAAGTAAAGCAACAGTTGTATTTCCTGCATGCATTGAATTTCAGGGGAAACGTGGGGGAGAATACACACCAAGGGGAGAAGGATACTGAAATGTTAAGCATGATCTCAAGGGCTTCATTTGTAGAGAATGAAGACTGTGATTGTCTTAAAACCATTTTATTCCAAACTTAATGGATAAAATTTTATTCCAAATTTTATATATATATATTGCTTTCTGGTTTATTTCTGGCTTTAAGTACAGCTATTTTCCTTGTTTGGAATATATATATATATGGCTTTTATTTCTTACCATTCACTAATGGGTGGGTGGAATTTATGTTTTTTAATAACTCAGGAGGGACTAGGAGGAGAAAACTATCTAATTTGGAGAGCTCATTTCTTTTCTCTGAAAAAGTGAATTGATCACAACATATTACATTTGTCTAGTCACAGTGTCTTTTCAGATATCATTGAATTTCTTTTGAAAGCCCTCTTGTATAACTATAAAGTCTTTTTGGATAAAATATTAAATACTCATAAAATAAGAATAAAAAGTGTATCATGGGCCTCCATGGTGGTGCAAGGGGTTAAGCACCTCACTATGAAACAATCCGAAGCCTTTGTAGCACGAGTTTGATCCCCTGGCTGGCCAGGGAGCAACCCACATGGCACAGCAGACCTCTCTTGTCTTGCCCGCTGCTCCCCTCAGCAGTATATTTCAGTCAATCTGCCTGTTCTGTTCCCCACTCTGTCTCTGGTGGATCCTCTCATCTCCCGCATCTCTGGTCTGTGCCCCAACTCTTGTATGCATAAATAAATAAATCTTTAAAAAAAAAAGTGAATCAGTTGGTTAAAGGAGGAAGGTTTTTTCTGCCTTAAACTGTATTTTGGTGTAAACACATTTACACCAATTTCAGGACTAGGGTAGAAAAGGCCATGCATATGAGCTCATTTAAAATCAAGTGGAAAATTCTTTGGAACAAAGTAAGTTTTAAAACAAACAGGAAACCTTACTTTTGGCAGTCAAACAAAGTTTCAATATTAAGACTATCTCAGATAAAAATTGTCCTCAGATTTTAAAAGTTAATACTAGTAATTTAAAAGTTAAGCTTTAATTTATCTCAACATAAAACAGTTTAAAAGTTTGAATAAGTCAATCTTTTGTTCTTTGATTCACTGTTTTTACTCTCATTTTATAAATGAAGAAACCTGTTTTTGCTAAGGATTTTATATAATGAATTAGGGACTGTAATATTAGATTTTTAGAACAATATTTTGTTGGGAAAAGTGAGCATTGTAGTAGCTTTTGTTAAGTTCTTCCTTTCCCACTTAATTTGCCTAATTGTAGATGAAAGTATTTTCTTCAAGTGTGTGTTGTTGGGTCAGGCTAGTACCAGGAACTAAAGATATTAAGATACTTATCTGGGAGAGACATTTAAATAAAGTACATTAAAACATATGCCATTATGGGACAAATAAATACCGTGTTAATGAGACATACTGCAAAGAGACATCTAAATTCAGGAAGACTTTTTAGAGAGGAGATGTAAACTGAGACTTGAAGGATGGGTAGGGATTAGCCAGTGAAGAAAAAGGAAAGTGTTCCAGATGGAGGAAACAATACTCATGAAGTCCAAAGATGAGAGGTGTTGCTTAACAGGGTAAAATGCAATTGCTTCAGTATAATGTTGAGCTGGCAGGCAGGAGTGTTAAGATGGAAGCAGTAAAATCCATATTCTAACTGTTTATTATATTCCTAAATATTTTGTGTTCTATAGTAATCATGATCCTATGTGCCTTAATTTTTTTTAATTAAAAAAAGTTCTCGGAGCCTTCCCTGTGGCGCAGCGGGTTGAGTGCAGGGCTGTGAAGGTGTCCACAGCCTCTGCAGCACGGGTTCGATTCCTGGCCGGCCAGGGAGATCCCCACTTGGCGCGGCAGACCTCTTCTGTCTCGCCCGCTGCTCCCCTCAGCAGTGTCTTCTGTCCGTCTGCCTGTTCTGCTCCCCACTCTGTCTCTGGTGAATTCTCTCACCCTCCCATGCCTGTGGCCTGTACCCATACTTGTATAAATAAATAAATCTTTAAAAAAAAAAAGTTTTCTGTATAAACATCTAGTTAAGGTTCTATGTAAAGTGCAGGGATTTAAATTACACCAGTCTTATTAAATCTTATTAAATCATATTTAATTTTTGTGTTCTACATTGATTATTGCCCTATTTATTTGGTATAAGATAGTATAAATAAGAGTTAAAAAAAAACTAAAGGAATGTTTATCTGAATATTCTTGTGACAGTGACATGTCTAATAATAGACAACTGTTACATTGACCTACTCTGGCCATTGCTTGATAGCGCTGAGACTTTAATCTTGCACCAGGGAGGCCCTATTTTAGATTTTTTTTGTAGGTATATCTTTAACTTTTTTTTCCAAAACCAGGCTTATTCAATATATTACAAAAATCTGTCTCTGTAGTCCGTTGTGTATCCATAGCATAATTAATATAAATAACGTAGGATTCTGAACATTAAAAAAAGATGGATGACTTCAAGTGCTAAAAGCAGTCTTTTAGAGGCACAGCCTCTAAATGGCACTACCCTAACAATTGTTCTGTAAAGGGCTGTAGGTTATGAACTGAGGAACCCAAAGCTTCTGCCTGCATTCTTCTGTTTTGATACTGCTATTTACCTGAAATAACTTGTGTGTAACCTGGTGCTTGTGCAATATTACTACTTATCTATTTTAGACAAGCATAGACATGCCTTTGTTCTATCTGGAAGACAATGGACAATAGAACTCTAATAGAAATATACAAAACAATTGTGATTGTGTAGCCAATTGTGATTGTGTTCCCTCTTTATTAGGGATTTACTACAGATCATGCTAGGACCCAGGTTTAATAGATTGGGGTTATTCAGACTGCTATTCCCATACTACATGTAGTTTTATTTGTATAGTTTGTGATTCTTTAAATGCTCTAATTTTGGTCTGTGTGGCATATTATCTGCAATTCTTTGGTTAACAATGTTGTAACAATGTGATTGTCCTGGAATATAAATGAGTGTATATCACATTGTTAAAATACTAGAAAACAAGAAATAATAGTTACAGTATCGTGTTTATTAATATGTCTTTTGGTTCACAAAATAATGATTTGTGCTAATCTTTAGTTCCAGAAAGCTGATTCTGATCTGGATTACATTCAGTACAGGCTGGAATATGAAATCAAGATTAATCATCCTGATTCAGCAGGCAAGGTAATCAGCAAAATAAAAATTTTTTTAAAACAGAATGTTAAGAGATTTTCTGATACTATTTTAATAGTAGATTGTAATAATTATATTATTAAGTGCTAAATGTATAGAATCTTAAAGTCTTTGGGTTAAAAGTTTGGTCACAACATATTAGATTGTTTTGATAATAAGGGAAACTTATGACTTTATTTTTAAGCCCTCAAATGAGAATTACTGAGTCCAGAAGTACAAACCACTGTGGATGCCTCTCAAATTCTGGGACTATTGATACCTCTAGAGAAGTATTAAGTAACTTTGAAGGGAGAAATCCTGGTAGTCATGATATTATCTGAGGAAGATGATGTTATACCATTCAATTTGTTATGCAAACTGATTTTTGCAAAAAATGATGCATTTATAATTCTATGTTTAAGATTATTACAAATCTTTATATACTGCAGTATGATAAATACCTTAGTTAACATCTCTATAACCTACTTTCTATTGCTACACATTTACTGTCTGAACATTTCATATAAATGAAGTAATTCAATATGTGGCCTTTTATGTGTGATAGCTTTCATTTAGCATATTTCATAGTTTCATATTTCATCGTTTCATAGTTTCATGTAATAGTGTGATTCAATACCTTATTCCTTCTTATAACAGAAATTTTTGTTGCATGTTTATTACTTGATAGGCATTTTGGTTATTTTCTCCTTTTGGCTATTATGATAATACTACTACAAGCATTCATGTACAAGTTTTTGTAGCCATCTGCTTTCATTTCTCCATGGTACACTGTAGGAGTGGAATTGCTGGCCATATGGTAACTTTATGTTTGATATTTTGAGGAGCTGCCAAACTGTTTGACAAAGCACTAAAGGTTTTTTTTAAGTTGTAGTAAAATATATGTAACACAAAGATTTCATTTTATCATTTTTAAAAAATATTTATTTATTTATGCATACAAGAACTGGGGTATAGGCCAGAGGTGTGGGGAGTGAGAGGATTCACCAGAGACCGCGTGGGGAACAGAACAGGCAGATTGACCGAAATACACTGTTGAGGGGAGAAGCGGGCACAACAGGAGAGGTCTGCCAGCCATGTGGGAATCTCCCTGCTGGCCGAGAATCAAAGTGGCGCTGCGGAGGCTGCGGAGAGCCTCACAGTGCTACACTCAATCCGCTGCGCCACCGGGAAGGCCCTATTTTACCATTCTTTAAATGTACAGTTTAGTGGAATTCAGTACATTCACTTTGTGGCAGCAATTGCCACCATCCATATCTAGAGTTTTTTCTTTCTAAACTGAAACTCTGTACCTATTAAACTGTAGCTCCCAATACCTCCATCTTCCAACCCCTGGCAAACACCATTCTTTCTGTCTCTATGAATTTGAGATAATTTATATAAATTGATCCACAAATTATTTGTCCTTTTGTGTTTAGGTTATTTCACTTATCATAAGTCCTCAGTGTTCATGATGTAGCATGTGTCAGAATTTTCTTTTTGAGACTGAATAACACTCCATGAATGTATATACCATATTTTGCTAACCCATTCGACTATCAATGCACACTTGGTTGTTTCCACCTTTTGGCTGTTGTAAACAATGCTGCTTTGTACATAGTATACATATAACTCTTTGAGTGCTTGTTATCAATTCTTTTGTAACTGAATTGTGGAATTACTGAATCATATGGTACTTACATTAACTTTTGTTTGACTATAACTTTATAAACATGTAGGTTTTTGTTTTTTTTTTTTTTTTTTTTTTGGGACCCTCGCCGGCGGCCGGGGAATGAACCGGCGCTGCAGAGGCTGCATGCAGCCTCGCAGCCCAGCGCTCAACCGCTGCACCACCAGGGGAGGCCCAAACATGTAGCATTTAAACTTCAAAAAAATCTCCTTCCTTTATTGTGTTACATTTGGAAAGAAAACCATGATTTTAGACTTACAGATTTTACTAACATTAGTCCTAATGATTATATGTGTATCAAACAAGGAAAGTAAGTGTGCCAACCACTGTAGTGTTTGTGTGGATGTGTATTCACACTCACATACAAGATAATTTTGTTTTGCTGCATTATCTTCATTCTAGTACCACTGTGATTTAGTGATTCTCAGTAATTTGCATAAAAGTCAACTATGTGAATAGAATTCATTTAGATATAGATATAATAAACTACAAGCTCCTGTTACCATATTCTTCACCCATTTTTGTTCTAGAAAAATAATCTTGTTTTCTGAACATTTTCCCTGTGAACTTTTTTAAGCTCAGTAGTATATCTGATGGCATGTTTGTTTTCAAAAGCCTTAATTGAATTGAGCTTTTTACTTACATATTGGCTTTTCTTCTCCATCATTAGCACTATCATTATCAGAGTACTTTTTGTATATTCTTCAAACCTTTTATCATCCATTTGTAATCAAGAAAATCCTAAAATGAAATGACATGTAAAGGTAGAAAATTAAATGAAACATGCAGCATGCTTACAAACTAAAAAAGAACACATTGGCTCCCAAGAAGCCAATTACCCAAACAAAATAGGCTGTGTGCACAATAGTTTTTCCTCCCGCTGTGATGTGGTATTAAATCCTAAACACAATGTAGTCATAAGCAGGCCATATAATACTAATCATGTTATCCTGAATTATTGTCATATAATTGTTATTAGATCTGATTAGTGTCACAAAAACATGTAGTATGAATAATTCCTTAACTATCCTATTCTGACTCTTAGCTCTACGGCTGTTTATTTCCTCTGTTTGATTCACCAACTCTTTCTTTTTCTAGTGTGGGAGATTGTCAAGGATTAGTTCTTGAGACAAAGTTTTTTACCCCCATGGAACAGTATTTGGGAAGTTCATCTTTCTTCTTTCTACTGTATGTACAGGTCTCTGGGCACTTGACTACTGAGCTCCGTTTCAATTACCTAGAGACCCTTTTGCTTACATGATTGACAGTCACCTCACAATTGTTACCTTTTTCCTTCATCTCAATTTTCTTCCCACTTTAATTATCACATTAATTTTTGTGTATAATTTTATGTATAATTTGAAAAGTCACAAAAGTACAAAGCTTATAATTATAAACAGTAATTCTGTTTCATAATCTCCCACCCCGCAAAAGACCACCACTTGATTTCAGTATTTTCTTACATACCTCTATATTTCCAAATAGTATGCAATGTATTGCTGTTTTTCCCCTGATCTGAAATATCTACTGATTTGAAATATCTATTGATTTACTCTATACAGATTGTTTCCGTTCAAATCTCAGCTCTGCATTGTGATCTTAAGCAAGTCAGTTAACCTTCTGTAACTTTTCTTCATTTGTAAAAATGAGGATATTAGTCCTCATTTCATAGATGGAAAGAGAAAAATATATATAATGTGTTTAGAACTTTTTATCTGGTCTAGAGTATGTGCTATGTTTTAGCTGTTATTATTAAAAATAAGTAATTATGGAAGTTAAAAGATTAAATACCTTATACCCATATTTTCTGTTTTCATTAGATATATCTACATTTAGTACTTGTTATATTAGTCTATGTGGGTTGCTACAATGAAATATCACGTACCAGGTACCTTATAAACCACAGAAAGTTATTTTTCAGAATTCTGGAGGTTGGGAAGGCCAAGTTGAGGTGCTGGCATGGTCAAGTGAGGAGTCTTTTCTGAATTGCAGGGCGTGTGCCTTCATATGGCAGAAGGGGCAGGAGATCGCTCTGGAGCTCTTTATTATAGCACTGACTTCATTCTCAAGGGCTCTGTCTTCATGACCTTATAACTTCGCAAAATACCTACCACTTAATACTATCACCTAGGTAGTTAGCTTTTAACATTAGAATTTTGGAGGGATATATTCAGACCATAGATATTATGACTATAAATATTACTTTTATATAAGTCTTAGAGTATACTATGTTTGCTTTTTCTTTTTTACACAATTTGTTTTTCTAGAGCTAATATTTGTTTTAATCTTTTTCCTTCTTCAGTTTACTTAGTTTTTATATGCATGCATCATTGATTCAGTGAGACTTTTTTTCTTTTTTTAGATATAATTTTTTAAAATTTTCATTGATTTTTTTTTTTTTTAAGATTTATTTATGCATATAGGATCTGGGGTACAGGCCAGAGATGTGGGGGGCAGGGGTGAGAGGAATTCACCAGAGACAAAGTGGGGAACAGAACAGGCAGACTGAATTACCCTGCTGAGGGGAACAGTGGGCAAGACAGGAGAGGTCTGCTGCGCCATGTGGGTTTCTCTCTGGCCGGCTGGGGATCTAACTAGTGCTGCAGAGGCTGCGGATTGCTTCATAGTGCGGTGCTTAACCCCTTGCGTCACCAGGGAGGCCCCCCTTGATTTATTTTTTCAGTCAGACTTTTCTAAAAGAACTGTTTAGAACTTTTGTCAATATTGTCAGATCCATCACATGATCCTTAAGTTTCATTTTCTTCCATATCCCTTCTCTAACTTTATTCTTTATTTCCTTGCTCCTAACTGACTTTTCTACAGGCCTGCTGCAGCCTAGTTTAAAGGGATTTCTTTAGTGTCATTTTGTTAATCACTTTAGTTTTACTCCTGGTGTGGATCACATTTTACTCTTTCTTGGTTTATTTCTTTAACCCGATGAGGCATATCCTTTAGAAGTTTCCCAAGAAAGAATACACACAACATTAACTTTTTGAGACTTCCCTGGTGGCACAAGGGTTTAAGTTGCATCACTGTGAGGCTGTCTGCAACCACTGCAGCACAAGTTTGATCCCCGGCCAGCGAACTAACCCACATGGCACAGTAGACCTTTTCTGTTCCCCACTCTTTGTCTGGTGAATCCTTTCACCACCCCCACCTTGCACCTCTGGCCTGTACCCCAGTTCTTATACACATAAATAAATAAATCTTTTTTTAAAAAAAGATAGAATATACAGAGAGAGGATTAACTTTTTCACATGTCAAAAATTTGAAAATGTCTTTATTTAACCCCCATTTAATTCTTTTTTTAAAGATTTATTTATTTATGCATACAAGAGCTAGGGTATCGGCCAGAGGTGTGGGGGGTAAGAGGATTCACCAGAGAAAGAGTGGGGAACAGAACAGGCAGATTGACCGAAGTACACTCCTGAGGGGAGCCGTGGGTGAGTCAGGAGAGGTATGCTGCACCATGTGGATTGCTCCCTGGCTGGCCGGGAATCAAACTCATGCTGCGGTGGCTGCAGATTGCTTCATAGGTTGCATCTTAACCCTTACGCCACCAGGGAGGCCACCCCCCCCCATTTAATTCTTTATTTGAATGATATTTTGGTTGAGTTTGGAAATTATTTTCTCTTAATTGTAATGTCATTGCTTTGTGGTTTTATAGCTGCAAATGTTCCTGTTAAGAAACAGGTATCAGGGCCTCCCCTGGTGGCTCAGCGGTTGAGCGCTGGGCTGCGAGGCTGCCTGCAGCCTCCGCAGCACCGGTTCGGTCCCCGGCTGCCGGCGAGGGTACCACAAAAAAAAAAAAAAAAAAAAAAGAAAAGAAACAGGTATCAAAAACAAGAGAAAACACAAATAAAAAAGTTTAATAAGAAAAAAAGAATAGATGCCATTCTAATTCCTGAATCCTTGTGAGTGTATTTTTCCTTATTCCTCCTCCTCCCCCACAGATACCCATACACATTTTTCTCTTTTTTTTAAGATTTATTTTTATTTATTTGTGCATACAAGAACTGGGGTGTAGGCCAAAATTACGGTGGTGGTGGGTTGTGTGAGAGGATTCACAAGAGACAGAGTGAGGAGCAAGAACAGCTAGATCTACTGAAATATACTACTGAGAGGAGCAGGGGGTGAGAGGAGAGGACTACTGCACCATATATGGGTTAGCTCCCTGGCAGGGGATTGAACATGTTGCAGTGGCTGGCTATAACTTGATAGTGCTGTGACTTTAAGCCTTGTACCACCAGGGAGACCCTCTTGGAACTTTTATAATCTTTCATCTGTGCTATGACATTTTATGGTTATTTTATGATTATAGTATTGTTGTTTTCATTAATTGTGCTATCACAGAGTGGGGTCCTTAAAATCTGAAAACATGTGAATCTGAAGTCATAGTATATTTATTAAAGAAAGTCTCTTATGGCCTCCCGGGTGGCGCAGCGGTTGAGCGCTGTGTTGCGAAGCTGCCCGCAGCCTCTGCACCTCTGCAGCTCCGGTTCCATCCCCAGCTGCTCCCCAGCCACCGGAGGAGGGTCCCTCATGGCGCGCAGACCTCTCCTGCCGCCCGCTGCTCCCCTCAGCAGTGTACTTCAGTCCTTCTACCTGCTCTGCTCCCGCTCTGGCTCTAGTGAATTCTCTCACCCTCCCGCGCTTCTGACTGTACCCAGTGCTTGTATAAATAAATCTTTAAAAAAAAAAAAAGTCTCTTATGGCTTTTCCTGTTAGTAAGATATTGAACTTCCTGGGACTGTCCTTCTATTCCTATATTTTTCTTTCCTTGTTGTTTTGTGGCTCTAATCTTTCCATCCTCCCTGCCCTCCTCCTTTTAGGACATTTCTTTGAATTTTCTACTGTAGAGCTTTTATTTAAGACAATATCCATAATCTACAAACATGATGGGAAATGTACCCATGAGGGTGAGAGCACAGGACTTAAAGTCATTGGGTGTACACTGAATATAGATAACCCCAAAGGCATCTTAATACACTGTGTTCCTCTATATGACCTATATATATGTGTGTGTGTATATATATATAAATGCACACATACATTTGGTATCATCATATATATACATTTCCTATTATTCTTCCATATAAAAACCCCCCACCAATTAGCTTTTTCATAATAGCTCCCTTCAGTCCCTTTTATAGTGGTCTTGCTCACATCACAGGTTTTCATTACTCCCACAGAATTACTTTAACAGTCTTTAAGTTAGATTTTCTGTCCTTATTCCTTCCTGTTAGAGTTAGCATTGCTTGGGCCTCCCTGGTGGTGCAGGGGTTAAAGTCTCAGCACTGTTAAGCAGTGTGGCATGAGTTTGATCTCCCTTCAGTCCCCAGCCAGGTTGCTATCCCACATGGCACAGCAGACCTCTCCTGTCTCACCCACTGCTCCCTTCAGCAGTGTATTTCAGTAGATCTACCTATTCTGCTCCCAACTCTGTCTCTGGTGAATCCGTTCCCACCACCCCTGCACCTCTTGCCTATACTCCAGTTCTTCTATGCATAAATAAAATAAACCCCCAAAAAGAAAAGTGTTTTTTTAAAAAAATCTTATTTTCTATTCCCATCATCAAATTCTTAGGAGGAAGCCATAAATTGACTTACTGCTGTAACATGAGGTAGGGTCCTTGGAGATATCTAAAGAGCAAAAAGATTAACAGTATAATATAGTTTTATGGAAATCCAGTTTACTGTAAGAAGATTGGAATAGGGGAAAAAAAATAAAGAGACAGAAAGAGGGATAAAAGTTATGTGCTATAGAGCAAACATGACCTCTTGATATTTTAAAATAATTTGGCAAAAGAGTAGTCTATAAGGTTGTTAAACTGAGAACATATAGGGTCTACAAAGTTGGTGTCAAATAGAGTGAGAATTTGAATTGGCAACAGAGTGAAGGAGTTAGTTTTTTTCCCAGGTTATAATTGAAGTCTGTACAAAGGGAAGTATTGAAAAGTTTATTGAAATATAGGATATTTAACATTCTGGAGTATATGGAGAGGGGACAGTAACACTGTTAGCAGTTGATTAAGTAGAAGAATGTCCACAGATCTTTTCATTTTGGAATAAAAGTCAGAGAGATGGATGGTTTCTGTCTTTTCTGTAAAGCAGTTCGGGAGATCTTATGCTGAGAAGAAGTGGAGGGGCACTGGAGGGAGTGGAGAGTGGAGTGGTTATTATTGGAGCATTTGCTAAGGAACTGTCAGGCAATGTAAAGAATTACCAAATAGATAAAGGACCTAATTGAATTTTTTTTAATGGAATAGTGGTTATTTATATTATAGTTGCTTGAGTTGGCATGAATTTTGTGTCATGACTTGGTATTTGCCATGACATATCAGTGACATGTCAATGACTTGGTATTTATACCCAAAGAGATTGTGTTTACGAATTTTATTATTATTGGTTTCAAGTTGTCTTACTCTTTAAGAACAAACCAAAATTGGGGCCTCCCTGGTGGCACAAGGGGTTAAGTCGCAACCTATGAAGCTATCCACAGCCTCTGCAGTACGAATTCGATCCCCAGCCAGGAAGCTACCCACATGGCGCAGCAGACCTCTCTTGTAGCGCCCAACTCTGGCCTGCACCCCAGCTCTTGTATGCATAAATAAATAAAATCTTTAAAAAATAAAATAAAAATGTGGAAAAAAAATCACAAACCAAAATTTTATCTTTGGTGGAGTACTGTGGGTGCCTTGGTGGTAGGAAAGGGGAGATACACCTGAAGGATTTGATACTATACCTTCAAATCATATGCTGTGTTATAAACCAATGTTACTTCACTGAAATTTTTTTTTTTTTTTTTTTTTTTTATAGAGGCATGCTTTTTTTTTTATTTATTTATTTGTTTGTTTGTTTTGTTTATACATGCACTGGGTACAGTCAGAAGCACGGGAGGGTGGGAGAATTCACCAGAGCCAGAGCGGGGAGCAGAGCAGGCAGAAGAACCGAAGTACACTGCTGAGGGGAGCAGCGGGCGGCAGGAGAGGTCTGCGCGCCATGTGGGACCCTCCTCTGGTGGCCGGGGAGCAGCCGGGGATCGAACCGGCGCTGCTGAGGCCGCGGGCAGCTTCGCAACCCAGCGCTCAACCGCTGCGCCACCGGGGAGGCCCTTCACTGAAATTTTTTAAATAAAAATCATGCAAAAAATTTTAACTTTTACTAATTTTCTGAATAGTATTTAGAATTGTATTTTGGAAATACTGCATAATTAATGATTGTGAGCTATGCCTCAAATGTTATATATCTAAAGTAACCTTATTTGCAGTTTAATATTGCTAAATTTTTGGTGTAAGTTATTTCTGTTCCTAGACTTTAGTTCCTCAAGAATAGGATCTAGGTCTTATACTTCTCTTCCTCCACCTTTTCACATCTTTGGTAACACAGTTGCATATTTAATTACAGTGCTTGATTAAATGGATGGTAGAATGTGTTGTGTATATTTCAATTCTTAAAAGAGGCTTAATTTTTCCCTTACATGATTTAATATATATTAACTTTTTTTCCCTAGAAAAATCCAGTTACACTCTTAAAGGAATTGTCAGCGATAAAGTCTCGATATCAAACTTTGCATGCACGCTTTAAACCAGTTGCTATTGAGCAGAAAGAGACTAAAAGTCGCATTTGTGCTACTTTGAATAAGACAATGATCGTGATACAAGAACTACAAAAGCAAACAGATGTGGAGGTAAGTCTTTCAATAGACAAGTTAGATTTATACAGTTTTAATTCAGAGTGTCCTTTTTTTTTTTTTAAAGATTGATTTATTCATTTGTTTATACAAGCACTGGGTACAGTCAGAAGCACGGGAGGGTGAGAGGATTCACCAGAGCCAGAGCTCGGAACAGAACAGGCAGAGTGACGAAATACACTGCTGAGGGGAGCAGCGGGCGGCAGGAGAGGTCAGCGCGCCATGTGGGACCCTCGCCGGTGGCCGGGAATGGAACCGGCGCTGCAGAGGCTGTGGGCAGCTTCGCAATCCAGCGCTCAACCGCTGCGCCACCAGGGGAGGCCCCAGAGTGTCCATTTTGAAAGATAAATTCCTACTAACTTTCCTTTTGAAATTCAGTCATTTTGAACTGTTGATACAAATCATATTTTCTTGATTATCTGAAGTATAATAGCTCATATCCTATTTTACATGAGTGTGTGCACTTGACATAGTTGGTTTATATAATCATGGTAGAAGAGGAACTTGCTAATACTTATTAAATGTAACTGCTGGTTTCTATAAGAACTTGTGAGACTGAGAAATCTGGGAAGCATCTATATCAATGAATCTTTTTTTTTTTTCTTTTCTTTAGTTGGATTGGTGGACATCAGTGGGCCTAATCTTCATTCTCCCCTTTCATTTAGTATAAGAATACTTGTATTTGTAAGCATCTGTCATTGATTACAACTCTTCAGATATATTAGAGTAGAATAAAGAGTATGAGCTGCTGACCTCTAGGCACTTAGGTCTTGAAAGATTTGGTAGCAATTTTATTTACTCTCAAGGCAAAGCTGGGATTTTGTTTTTTGGTTGTTTTTTTTTTTAAAGATTATTTATGCACCTAAGAACTGGGGTACAGTCCAGAGGTGTGGGAGATGAGAGGATTCACCAGAGACAGAGTGGGGAACAGAACAGGCAGACTGAGTGAAATACACTGCTGAGGGGAGCAGCGAGCAACACAGGAGAGGTCGGCTGTGCCATGTGGGTTGCTCCCTGGCCGGCCAGGGATTGAACTCATGCTGCAGTGGCTGCGATAGCTTCATGGGTTGCATCTTAACCCCTTGTGCCACCAGGGAGGCCCCAAAGTTGGGATTTTGGAAACAAAAGATGGCATATATGTAGATGGAATAAAAAAGTAGAACTTAATTATGGGAACAATAGATAGAAAATAGGTTATATTTCTGTTGCCAACTCTAATAAATTAACTAATAATGACAGCTTAGATTTTTGGGCATGGCAGAGAAGATATCTATAGTGGGTATGGGAAAGAGTAGGAGCAGCAAAAATGGTATATATTTGCCAATTCTGAATTAAATTATGTCTTTAGATAATTGAATTATGGGTTGTAGCTAGAGTATATTTCAAAGTTTGATTAGCCAGGTCAATTTGATGAAAAGTGTTTTATATTGCCAATGGAAGATACCTGGTTAAGTTATAAAATGATATCTTAGACATACATATCTGTTATGTCATGGGGCGATGAATAGTGGAGAAGGGGAAAACAATTTAAAGGCAGGAGTAGGGAGAATAGGGAAATGGAATTTAAAACAGTAAGGATGGGCCTCCCTGGTGGTGCAGCGGTTGAGCGCTGGGTTGCGAAGCTGCCCGCAGTCTCTGCAGTGCCGGTTCGATCCCTAGCTGCAACCCAGCCACTGGAGGTGGGTCCCACATGGCACGCAGACCTCTCCTGCCACCCGCTGCTCCCCTCAGCAGTGTACTTCAGTCCTTCTGTCTGCTCTGCTCCCGCTCTGGCTCTGGTGAATTCTCTCACCCTCCCGCGCTTCTGACTGTACCCAGTGCTTGTATAAAATCAATAAAAATAAATGTTAAAAATAAATAAATAAATAAAATAAAACAGGATGGTACCAAATGCTAATAGGTATACACACAAAAAATGTAACTTTCACAAGTCCAACCCAAATTACATATTATTTATTGTATGTGATCAAGAGTCCGACAATAGAAGCACATAAACTTATTCTAAGGAAACAAGTATTGAAGAGAGATTAAATGTAGTTCTGGATGTATATATCAACATATCTATATAGAAATTCAAAAATTAATTGAGCAAAGAATAATTTGGGTGAAAATTATAAAAGAAAATTAAAAAGTTCAAAGAGAAAAATGATACTTTCAATATTTACTTAAAATTGTTCCCTCTGGATACAATTAAATATATGGTATATTTCTGATTAAGATTGTAAACTGGCACAGAAAAATAGTTATGATGGTAATAGGGGGTTTTAATCATCTGAATATCTGTAAAGGTCTTTATTACACTTAAAAGAAGTATCTGAAACAAGCAAGTCTTATTTCAAAGGTAGAAGAAAGTTAAGGGAGGTTTCACTTTAGATTGGATTATGGCAAGGAGATAGGACTGAAAAGTCAATTGTAAACCTTAGGAAAGGAAATCACATTTTACAGTTAATGATGGTGAAGCTGGGAAATATTAAATACAGTAGGTTCTTATACTTAATTTTAAAAACGAGAGAATAGCAGAAAGGTCAGAGAAAAATTTTATGAACGAAATGTGGAAGAAAAAGGAACATCATTTGTAAAGACTTGATAACCAAAAATAGTTCTGTAACCCAAAGTTTAAGGGACATGTAACAGAGACCTTATAAGGAAATTTTAAGTATAAAAAGTGGTATATCACTCAAAAGGACAACTGAGAATGGTTAAGAAAACCAAAGGGTGGAATGAACTGAGACTTCTGAAATTCTCCCAAAAAATTAAATGGGCCTTTAAAATTATTTGGGAGCAGGAAGAAAGAGTAAAGTCTACTTAGGGAAAATGATGCTTTGTTTATATATATAGTAGAGAGTAAAATTGTTCAGGTATTATTTTTATAATCTTTATCAAGGTGAGTGATTTTTCATTTGGAAGGGTAGAAATATGTATTTTTTAAAGATTTATTTATGCATCCAAGAGCTGGGGTGTGGGCCAGAGGTATGGGGGTGGGGGATGGTGAAAGGAATTCATCAGAGACAGAGTGGTGAGCAGAACAGGCAGATCCACTGAAATACACTGCTGAGGGAAGCAGTGGGTGAGGCAGGAGAGGTCTTCTGCACCATGTGGGTTAGCTCCCTGGGATTAAACTCATGCTGCTGTGGCTGCCATAGCTTCATAGTACTGAGACTTAACTCCTTGTGCCTTCAGGGAGGCCCAGAAATATATTTGAATTGAAAATATTAAGAAATAAATAGGGAGATGAAAACAGAAAAGGAGGTAGAGTGAAATATATATTATTTACTTATCTTTCTTAGATGACATTAAGACATCAAGGTTTAAACATACTTGTAAAAGGTTACCACCAAAAGCCAAAATAAAAGGGGGATGGAGGAGTGGGAGGGAGACTGAATATGTACCAAAATAAAAAATTAGCAGAGCAAATATCACAAATAATATAACAATAAATAGAAAATTACAAAGCATTAAAAATAGAATTATGATATTCCATTGATGCCCTAAGATGTTAAAAAAGAAAAATTTCACTCTTGTTAGGCTGGTCATTTCCTGGTAAAATCTTTCAAGGTCTGTAATACAGTGGTCTGAAATTTTGTAAAAAGTAATCACAAAGAGCACCACAGCTTCATAAAGAGCAAAGACTAAAAACAATACCATTTTTTATTTTTAGGATAAAAGAAAAATTCTGGAAATATTTGGATTGCAATAAGGCATATGATTGTTTTTTCATTTTATCCATGTGAATATTTGGAGCAATTGTTGACTTGATTAACCAAAGCAGCTGGGCTATTCAGTAGCCACATGTGACTATATAAATTAAAATAAAATTTAAAGTAATTAATTAAGAATAAAAATTCAGTTCTTGGGCCTCCCTGGTGGCATGGGGGTTAAAATCTCAGTGCTATCAAGCAATTACCAGCCACTTCGGCAAGAATTCGATCCCCAGCAGTGAGCTAACCCACATATGGTACAGCAGACCTCTCCTGTCTTGCCCACTACTCCTCTCAGCAGCGTATTTCAGCAGATCTGCCTGTTCTGTTCCCTACTCTGTCTCTTGATGAAACTTCTCAACCCCCACACCTCTGGCCTACACCCCAGTTCTTATATGCTTGTATGCATAAATAAACCTTTAAAAAATAATAAATGAAAATAAAAATTCAGTTCTTCATCTGTCATTTGGGCAATGCAGATACAAAATATTTCCAGATCACAGAAAGTTATATTGGATAGTACTGCCTTAGAGATTCTGATTCTGTAGGTATGGGGTGTTCTAGTTTTGGTAGTCTCTCTAGAGATGACCTATATATCAAGGCAGATTTGAACTACTTGAGCGGTTCTTCAGGTTGTAAACCACTTGTTATTTTCCCATATAACTTTTTGTTTCAGTCAGTCTTTTAGTGGTTTCTGTCTTTTGTCCCTTTGTTTTTGCTTCTACGTGCTTTTTCTGGATACAGTTGGTTGGTTATTTTCAGCATCTCCTCGCCCTTCCTGTCTATCAGATTACTGGTTTATTGAGATGTGGGCAGTCTCTAATAGCCTCATAACTGGTAGAAAGTCAGCACCCCTCAGCTTCAGGAGTGCACCTGATTGGCAAGGAGATTGATATTTCTTTACTTAACATTGGTTCAGGAATGATTTTGTAACCAAATAACATATGAAGAGGGATAGACTAGGAGTAATTAGGAAGAGTTTCCTCACTATTGAGAGCCATGGGAAAAGAAAACTTCATTTCTTCTTTTAAACTGTGTGTAGATTTGCTGCCTACCACAGCTTATCATTTACCTGTCAGCTTGAGGATAAGTCCACCATTAAGGATGTCAGAGCCATGAGATGGAAAACAACTGAATTCTTACACTGTCAAGTTCCTAAATAAACCAGCCCTACAGTCTGCTTTTTTGCATTTATTTATCTTTTAAGATTTATTTTTTAAGATTTATTTTATTTATTTATGTATACAAGAACTGTGTGTGTGTGGGGGGGGGGGGCTCCTTGGTAGCGCAAGGGGTTAAGTGTCAGCACTATGAAGCTATTTGTAGCTATTGCAGTGCGAGTTCAATCCCTGGCCAGGGAGGTGACACACATGGTGCAGCAGACCTCTCCTGTCTCACCCGCTGCTCCCCTCAGCAGTGTATTTTAGTAGATCTGCCTGTTCTGTCCCCCAATCTATCTCTGGTGAATCCTCTCACACCTGTGCCTCTGGCCTGCACCCCAGCTCTTGTATGCATAAATAAATAAATCTTAAAAAAAAATTAGAACTGGGGGTACAGGCCAGAGGTGCAGGGGGTGAGAGGATTCAACAGAGAAAGAGTGGTGAGCAGAACTGGCAGATGTACTGAATTATACTGCTGAGGGGAGCAGTGGTCGAGACAGGAAAGGTCTGCTGAGCCATGTGGGTTAATTAGCTCCCTGGCCAGGGATCGAACTCATGCCGCACTGACTGGTGATAGCTTGATAACGCTGAGTCTTTAACCCCTGAGCCACCTGAAGACCCATTTTGTATTTATTGTTTAATGGTAATAAAATTTCTTATTTATCCTTTTTGAAGTGTGTTAAGAAGACTTTCTGAGGAAACTGCATTTATTTTTGAAAATACTTTTAGAACAGTTATTCAAATCTGATTTCTTTGGTCAGAGAAATAAGACTTAAAAGTCTTTGAAATGTTTATTTTTGTCTTTTGTTTTCTAGCTCTTATGACTGACTTAAGTATTTTGTCCTTTATTTTTTAGCTGTCGCCACTTACCAAAGAAGAGATGACTGCTGGAGAACAATTAAAATCTCACATGTCAGACTTATGAAGAAATGGAATTGCAGAAGGGCACTCTAATGGCAAGAGATAAATTCCAAGAAAATTAGGAGAATGTATTAGCACTTGAGAACTAGATGTGAGAGGATGAGAAGATTTGGCTTGGATAGATGGATAGTGATACTTTTCACAATAGGGGAATATAGGAAAGATAGAATATTATATAAGTTTAGTCAAAGGGACTTATAACATATATGCACATATACTTTTAATATATATATTTAATTTTTGGTAATGAAGTCTGTTAACTGTTTGCACCCATTTTTGTAAAATCAAGATAATACAGGTGTCCTGGCCTATCGTAAAAGAATATTTATATACTGGCATTATTAGTCAGACAAATGTGAATGAACATGTTTTGAAAAGTAAAGGACAAAAAAATTTTTTTGGTTTTTTAAATTCTTTTTTTTTTAAAGATTTATTTATTTTTATACAAGAGCTGGGGTACAGGCCAGAGGCACGGGAGGGTGAGAGGATTGACCAGAGACAGAGCAGGGTGCAGTACAGGCAGATTGACCAAAGTACACTGCTGAGGGGAGCAGTGGGCAAGGCAGGAGAGGTCTGCCATGCCATGTGGGACTCTCCCTGACTGGCCAGGAATCGAATCTGCTACGTTGCAGAGGCTGAGGACAGCTTCACAGCACTGCGATCAACCCGCTGTGCCACTGGGGAGGCCCGGACAAAAAAATTGTATTATGCATGTATAAATGTATGTAATTCTATTTTTGAAAAATTTGATTGCAGATCTGATTACATTATCAGATACTGCTAATATGTGACCTACAGATTCCCACAAAACCTAACTTTAGTAATTAGCTTTTCTGTTACAGCCTCTTTATTTTTTTTTTTTTTCATATTCGGCCTGCTAATTTTCAGCACTATGAGCTCTACTTTCAAATGTTCTTTTCGACTGTCCTTATCATGTTTTTTTTTTTTTTAAACTAATTTTATTTTATTATTTTTTTAAGATTTATTTATTTATACAAGCACTGGGTACAGTCAGAAGCGTGGGTTGGTGAGAGAATTCACCAGAGCCAGAGCGGGGAACAGAGCAGGCAGAAGGACCGAAGCACACTGCTGAGGGGAGCAGCGGGCGGCAGGAGAGGTCCGCACGCCATGTGGGACCCTCCTCTGGTGGCCGGGGAGCAGCCGGGGATCGAACCAGCGCCGAAGAGGCTGCGGGCAGCTTCGCAACCCAGCGCTCAACTGTTGCGCCACCGGGGAGGCCCTGTCCTTATCATGTTTTAATACTATCTTTGTACTCCTTCAACTAAGAGATCCTGTTCATTCTGTATAAAATCAGAAGTACACTGGCAACTACAACTTGCCAGTATTCTTGTATTTGTGTGTCTGTCTCCTATTTAAAAAAAAACTATTGGAAATAAGGTCATTGTTCAAGGTAGGGACAAATTTTAATACCAAGGTTTTAAGCACAGGGTTATTTATAATAGCAGTAAAAATACATGTGGGCGAGACAGGAGAGGTCTGCTCGCCATTTGGGTTGCTTCGAGGCCGGCGCGGATGGAACTGGCACTGTAGAGGCTGTGGACAGCTTCACAGCGCTGGGCTCAACGGCCTGCGCCACCAGGGAGGCCTTAGAATTCTACTTTTATGTAATTAAAATTTTTCTGTTATACTAACTTGTAATAGCTGACAAATAATGTTGGGTAAATAGCTTGAGTTACTTTTTATTCTTTTTTTTTAAGATTTATTTATCCATTCATACAAGAGCTGGGATACAGGCCAGAGATGTGGGGGGTGAGAGGATTCACTAGAGACAGAGGGGAACAGAACAGGCAGACTGATGAAACACACTGCTGAGGGGAGGAGTGGGCGAGTCTTGAGAGGTCTGCTGCGCCATGTGGTTTGCTCCCTGATCGGCCGGGGATCGAACTCTTGCTGCAGTGGCTGTGAATTGCTTCATAGTGTGGTGCTTAATCCCTTGCGCCACCAGGGAGGGTCTAGTTTGAAAATTTCATGAACAAAAAGCCCTCTTCTTTTTCAACTACAGAGAAATAAGTTATATCTTACACCAGATCTTAATTATCGTCTGTACTAGGCAATTAATAATGTCATTGGATGGCTCTGGGAGGTGATGTTGATTGGTGGGATTGAAAAATAGTAGTAAGATGAAGAGGTCATGATAGGTTCTTAATGTTAAAGCAGTTTTCTTTTCAATTAAGGGATGAAAATTAGATTGTACTTTTTTTCATTTGTTAATTTTTCCCACCTACTCCTGCTAAAATTGTTCTCTATACACTCATAGTCATTTGCTTCTGATTGCCTCTTTGTGGTGGATTCCCACATACAATTTCTACTAGATCTAGATTCATATTTCATAAAATAAACTCTACCTGAATACCCAAACATGTCCAGAATACTTACTGATTTTGTTATTTTGTTAATGGACACAATATTGTTAGCTGCAATTCAAAGTTTGTACCACTTTCTTAGTCAATAGAATCTAATTTTGCCTCTGAAATGTTTGTATTACCCAGTGCTTTATTTTTACTCTTACTATTCTAATTTAGATATTTTATTTCTCATCTGAACTATAATTGTTTTCGCCTATGTGATAATAGTGTTTTTAGGTCTTAAATTATCAATAATACAGATTAGTTTAAGTTGTTTAAAAAATTTGTATTGTCTTTTTATTGAGGTAATGTTGGTTCACACTACTGTTGATTCACAATACTTTAGAGTTGCAGGTTCACACTTCTTCAGATGTATGTTACCATACCATACCTACTATCAAAATACCCATAATCCTCCACCATAGTTCAAGGGCCTTCTCTCCCTTAAATTAATATAACTCTTAATTTTTTAAGATGTTTTGGGACTTAAATTTTCACATATTGAACGTAAAATATTGACAATGGATAAACAATAGGGGAAAAAAATTCTTCAGCAAAGACCTGGAACTCACGATTTGACTTGTCAAACACTAAAGAGAACAGTCAAGTGAACAGAGGATAAGGGAGTTTAACAGAGATTTTAACAGCATAACTGAAAACAAACCCAACTAAGCATCCGGTCAGCCTCTCTTCCACCCACTGAAGGAAAAGTTTAAATGAACTTCTAAATCTTGTTTCTCCGGTTAAAAAGGGAGAGGGTAAGAAAGACACAGCTGTTGCAAGGTCAAGCACCCTACGGATTCCTTCTCTACATGTTATCACCAGAACCCTATTACTAGAAATAGAAATGTATAGAGATAAAAGCTACAAGGTATTAAAAACAGACCTTGCTATAGAAACAGAGGTCACTTGTATTTCAGTGAGAATATAAAGAAAGATCTACAGGGTCCTCCCTGGTGGTGCAAGGGGTTGAGTCACAGTACTAAGAAGCTATCAGCAGCCACTATAGCTCAAGTTTGATCCCTAGCCAGGGAGCTTACCTACACGGTGCAGCAGACCTTTTCCTGTCTGACCTGCTGCTCCCCTGAGCAGTGTATTTCAGTCAATCCACCTGTTCTGTTCCCCACTGTCTCTGGTGAATCCTCTCACACACCCCCCACCGCCCGCGCAACTCTGGCCCATACCTCAGTTCTTGTATGCATAAATAAACCTTTAAAAAAAATAAGAAAGATCTACAGTTTCCTTTTAGCATGGAACTCCTAAAATACATGATCACTGTTGATCTGAATTAAAGCTGTGGGAGCAAGACCTTACTCTGGTCATTTTGGAAAGGATTAAGATTCAGTGCCTAGAACACCATCTATTCACCCTCCAAGCCATAGATCCAAGTCTCCAGTGACAATTAACTGCATCTTGCATAACAAAGTCCATAGGTATATCTGAATACTAAAATCTAGCTAGAAAAAGCAGTGGCAAAGACAAAATAAGCTGAAATTTGTAGAAAGGAAGATTTTTAAAAATGTTTCCAGTTCAAGTCAGCATTAAGGTGGTCACTAAGTCACAGCATCTTTACATAGCTAATATAACTTCAAGAAATTAAAAAATATAAGTGCTCCTCTAGAATTAATGTGCAGAAAGTTTCTTCAGATGTTTCCACATGTATACAAATAAAACATTTTTTTAAAGATTACTTTTTATTTATGCATACAAGAACTGGGGTCTAGGCTAGAGGTGCAGGCAGATGAGAGGATTCATCAGAGATGGAGTGGGGAGCAGAACAGATCTGCTGAAATACAGGCAGATCTGCTGAAATACACTGCTGAGGGGAGTGGCAGGTGAGACAGGAGAGGTCTGCTGCACCATGTGGGTCAGCTCCATGGCTAGGAATCAAATTGCTATAGTGGCTGGCAATGTTGAGGCCTGAAATAAAACAGTTTTGATAAGAATTTACTTGATACCCACATTACATTATAGCTGCACTTTGTCTTTTTCATTTTATATTTTGGATATCAATGCCGCACACCTGCTATTCTTTAGAACAACTAATCCAATATATGTGTGCACCGTAATTTTTACTAGTTCCTTTATTGATAGGCATCTAGATTGTTTAGTAGACAATTGAGATTTTGGGCCGTTGTGATGCTAGGACAGGGTCAAACCTTCCTGAAGCAATTTTAATGAAGACCACATGTTTCCCAAGCTGGGGGAATAGTGTAGCATCCTGTCAACTAAATTCTTTTCCGCTTGCAACCAATGACAGGTTGTAAATGTTTTCTCATTTTTCACTATTAACTGTTGCAAAATATCTTTAAATCTGTTTTAATATTTATACTGTAACTTGTCCTATTCTTTACTATACTGGTTTTTTTGAGATCAAGGACCACTTCTCATTACTGAACTGTGATATACTCCATAATTTTAACTGAAGTATGGGTTACACAATATAAAATTAAGAATGAGCCATATTAACACGTATAATTAAGGACATTTTATTACAAATGGTGTTGTGCATTAATCACCTCTATGTAGTTCGAAGACCGTAATTCTCGGTGAAAGAATTTTTCAGTGACATATTATTCTCCTTAAATTATATCTTTGTCCACGGTTTAGTAGTAAAAAAATGTTACCCACTAGTTATAAAAAGTCCAAATGCCTGGATATTTAAGAACTTCTTTCCGGATTATTGTTGATTTTCTATCTGTGCTCTTTACATTGGGCTAAGTGTAAAAGTTATTCGCAACAAACCAGAAAGGAAAAATCAAATTCAAAATATGAACTTGTAATTTACCTCACACCTTTAATTCTTGCAATCTCCAAACATCTCCTACACTAGAAAATTGTAGAAAGCAGCTGACACCCGCTTGTACCTTCCATAGACCCATGGCGGTAGCTGTTTCAAGTGCCAAGAAATCCAAGGTCGGGTGGGGTGTGGGTCTACACAGTCTACGGTCTCTTCTCCCCACCACCAAGATAAGAAACTACACCCCCCTACATTCCACAATCTGAAAAAGTCTGAATTTCGGTTTCCTCCCAGAGAAAAAAAAACCACTAACCACGAATCGTCCGCATTACGGTTTCTCAGACCAACAGAAGCCCAATCGCCGAATGGAGTTGAAAACGCGGATTTCCTGCGCTCTCCACCCTTGAAGCCCAGCCTGAAAACCTGGGGGTGTGGCTCCGGAGTCCGCGTTTTCCACGAGCAATCCAGGTGGCTCAAACCGCTCCGCGCGCAAGTTTGAGAAGGCGCCCCGCCCCCTGGAGGCGGGGCGAAGCGCCAAGTCCACGCGGGCCGCTCTCGCCGGCGGCCGGAGTCACGCAATCCTGCGGCGGCGGGCCGCTAAGTCTCGTGTGCTCCCCCGCACCGCGCGAACCAGGGGCCCGCCTCTCGCTCCACGCCCCTCACACCGCGCCCTGCGCGCATGCGCGCCTGGGCGCCGACCCTCGCGGCCGCGCCTCCAGCTGCCCTGGTTACCGTTGGTGTTTGCGAATTCCCTGCAGCACCGTCTTCGCTAGAAACCGGCGCCGCCGGGCTTCGCCAGCGGTTCCACGGCGCGCGTCTGCGTCACGTGGGCGAGGCGCCCGCGCGGTGGCCAGCGGCGGCCGAGCGTGAGGAAGGAGTGCGGCCACCGCTCGCCTTCCCACTGCGCCCCAGGGCGGGCGCGCGGAATAAAAATGGCGAAGTGGGGGTAGCTGGCGCCGAACCCGGAGCGATGGGGCGCGCAGAGACGGTCGTCCCAGCTCCCTGACGTGGGCGCCGGGCTGTTCTCGGCGACGATTTAACCTGGAGACCCCGGGCCGGCGCCTAACAGGTCAGACCACGGACTCCGCGGGTCGCCGAGGGCCCCGTCGAGAGCCGGAGGCAATGGATGAACAGAGCGTGGAGGTGAGGGCCGTTGGGGGCGGGCGGTGGTTAGGTCTCCCCCGGTGACCCGCTTGAGTGTTCTTTATTCGGGTCGTCCTGTCCTAGTCCTCTCCTGTAGAGCAACCCCCACCTCGCCGCTGCCGCCGTGGAGAGGGCTGGCCCTGTGGGAGGGACGCCGTGCTGGTCTTGCAGCCCTCCGAGTACCTTGTGCTCTGGCCATCCCGCAGCCAGGTGGTGCGTATCCTGGCCTTCTCAGGATGTTTTGGCACTGATGTGCAAACCCATAAGGTTTTTGCAAACTACATCCTATGCAGAGCAAAACTGCAAATTCATCAGAGGGACTTGCCTGGCGACTCTACACAAGTTCTTCTAGTTCACGCGTGGATCCCAGTGTCTCTCCTCATGGATAATCATTTCCTCCCAGCAGTACATTTTGCAGGCTAATGTCCTTAAGTTGAATTAGGATATACTCTGCTATCCTATTTGACTCTTGTTTTCCAGAACAACCTATTTTTGTATCAGGCGCCTCTAAACTGTAGTTTCCAATGGTCAGGATTTTTATGTAAAGACCAGCAACGTTAGAAAGAAAAAAAGATTGATTATTGGACATAATTACATAATCTTTGTCAGACTTGTGATACTGGATCCTTACTTGTTAGTAAGGGGCACCATATTACTGGACAGTTCTCTTGAAGCTCCGTTACCCAGTCGTCTTAATTGTCACCCTCCAGCGTCTACATCTCAGGAGTCTTTCTGGCCTTGCAGAACCATGATTAGGGTCCACAGTAATTTTCTCCTTAATTCCTCTTGTGACGTATTATAAAAGTATTGTAACTTTAACTTGCTTGTAGGAGAATTTAATTTTCTTGAGATGGAGTAAAAACGTGAGTATTTTGAAAAATCCTTAAGTGTATGTTTCATTTTGTCTGTTTTCTTGTCAGTTACTTCTAAAGTGGATATATCTGAAACTTGCAAAGGCCATTACTTTTTTTCAATTTATGTAATTTTTTTCTTCTTAGAAACTACCACCAGTAGGGACAGAATGTCAGGTTGGAGTATGTAGCTGGTTGATTTCAGCTGATTTCTAGTCGCAGAAGACACTGCCATTGGAATATGTAGTCAAAATAATTTTTTTTAGGGGGAATGTAATTTTTTTACAACTTTTTAAGAAGTATAAAAGCAATCTATTCCACTGTGGGAGAATTGTAGAAAAAGTAAAAAAGTTTATATTCTTCATTCACTCATAATTGTTATTAAATAACTGAAGAATATTTTTAGTGATGCTATCATATCTATGTTAACTATGGTACTTTAGTTAATTTTTGAACACATGGGTTATAGCCATATTCTTGCTATTGTAATTAAAGCTTCTGTGAACATATTTGTGCATAAGCTATGTTTGCATTTCATATCCTCTTTAGAATACCATTGTGAAGCTAAGAAAAATGGAAACACCTTTTCCACATGTTCTGAGTTACCAGGTCCTGATAAGGAATATAGTTAAATTGAGATGTTATCAACCTCAAATAAATGTAAATATCAAATGACTTATTTTAAGCATGCTTTTTACTTTTGATTCAGTAGGCTAACCTGGTGGACCTTACGTATTTTATTATTTTCAGAGCATTGCTGAGGTTTTCCGATGTTTCATTTGTATGGAGAAATTACGGGATGCACGCCTATGTCCTCATTGCTCCAAGCTTTGTTGTTTCAGCTGTATCAGAGTAAGTTGTATCTCTACTTGTATACCTTTAGTATATGTAAGACAGTTTAAAAATTAACCATTTCCTTTATCTTTTTTTGTTTTACGAATTGTATCTTTTGAAAGTCTTGAATGAATTTTCTTTTATGGGGTGATCATCGATCTAGATTGCTTAGTACTATGGAGGTGAATAAATATCAGATGAAGACTACCATGAAATGTCTGTAAAACAAAACCCACTGAAATTTTAGTGTATTTACTTTCTTAAATCACTGTACATTTAATATATGCTTGCCTGCATAATGTTTGGGGTTGAGGGATACTAATTGAGATAAATGACAATGCCTGCTTTGAGAGAGCTAGGACTTAATTCAGAGAATGATTCGGACATTTTCTGTTTATATTCAAGCATGTACAGTGTCATAAAGAGGCACTAATAAAGTACTATGAGACTCAGAGGAAGGAGAGTTTAAACTTCTTTAAGATGAAGAATAAACTAATAATGGGTTTAAAGGCAAAAAATAAAATTATATATATAAGACAACTTAAGATGAATATAATCGATTGGCTTTAAAACTTGAATGTAGGTGAACATCTGAAAATTTGTATAATTTATATAATGAGGAAACTCAAAATCTAAAACAGAAGGAATTATTTTAGTTATGTGTGTTGATTCAGTAATACATCTGTAGACCACAGTTGAAAACTGCCCTGCCCACATTATCAAATTATTTTCTCAAATTGACTCTTTTTGTTCTGTTTTGCAAATCACTCAAATTTGAAACCTCTTACATTAGTGATTTTTAAGTCAATTATTATCCTATAGCATCACTTAAATATCTGTCCTACTTTCCATTACTATTACCATTCTAATAGAGAAATAATGGACATTTATTACTCATGTTTAGAGTTACCAGAATTTAACTATCTCTGACTATCCAGATACTTGTATCTTTGAATAAATCAAAGATCCATACCTGTGGTTACACTTGTCCAAAATAATCTACTAGTTGCTGACAGACCAGACTTGGGCTCACTCACATGCCAGTGCATTAACCCATGGCTTTCTGTTGCCTTTCCACTGGTAACAGTTTTTTTTTTCTGAATGCAGTTTCCACATTCACAGATTCAGTGAATCCTCCACTTAGTATATTTACTCTTAAAGTTGTAGCTATTCTCATTTACTACATCTTTCATAGATACGTAGTAGTACCTTAACATTTTCCCCTTAAGATCAGGAAAAATACAAGGATATCTACTTTCATTACTTCTCTCCATTATACTTTTCCCCAACCCCTAGTAACCTCTTTTCTTTCCATTTCTAAGAATTCTAAGATTTAGTGTTAGTTTTAGGTGTACATTCCCCCACACCCCAAGGTGGTTATGCTATTTGGGACTTGAAGTTTAGAGTCGTTTTTCTACTTATTTAAAAAGCACCACTGAGATTTTGTAGGAATTGCATTGATTTTTCTATATTGCTTTGGGTAGTTTTACTATCCTAACAATATTAAATCTTCTAGTTCAGGAACATGGGGTATTTTTTTCCTTTATTTGGTGTTTTTTAAATTTTTTTCACCAGTGTTTTATATTTTTTCATGTACAAATCTTTCAACTACTGGGTTAAGTTTATTCCTAGGCATTTTACTCCTTGATGCTATTGTAAATGTTTATTTTCTCTTGGGATTCTTGGTTGCCACTGTCCATAAATGCAGGTGTTTTTGTGTGTTGATTTTATAGCCTGCAAATTTGGTGAATTTTTTAGATTTAATTGTTTGTGTGTGTTTTCTATAAAGGAATAATTTTGTAACCAGAAGACCGGGGTTCGGACTGCCTGTCACCACTGAATGCCCATTAAGTAGACAGGAATTGAATCTTTAAGGTGCACTTTAATCAGACAGCTGGCAATCTGGAAGGGGGGGAGGTTAACACCCTAAAGAAACAATCTTAACATTTAATTTCCAGCTGCCTTTTTATCATGAGTTGAACAAAGAGAGTTCAGTAGTAAGCAGGCCTTCACTGCTGCCAGGAGATTGTGATGTTCATCCCCAGAGCTCCTTAACGCCTCAGGCTCATCCCAGTGTGCTGAGGCTGGTCTTCAGATAGCACTGGCTCCCACACCTCCAGATCTCCCTCCTGACCTCAGGCTGGTCCCAGTGTCCTGAGGCTGGAAATTTAACTCAGAGCAGAGAGGCCATAAGCAATATATGTGTGCAGATTTCCTACTATACTAGCTTAGTGTCTCACTTGATCTCCTCCCCATCCCTAGCACCTATCAATTTCACTTGTTTTAATTTGCATACTTTTTCCTGCTAATTTCTCTAGCTAGAATATCTAGTATTATGTTGAAAAGAAGTGGTGAAAAGTAGGCATCCTTTTTTTTATTTTTTTGTGAATATGATGTTTGTTGTGGGTTTTTTATTTTGGATGTGTCCCTTGTATTTCTATTTGAGTGCTTCTATCATGAAGAGATACTGGATTTTATCACATCTGTTCTGTATCCGTTGATATGATCTTGTGCTTTTTTTGCCCCTTTGTTTTATTAATGTGATGTGTTACATTGAACAATTTTTGCATGTTGAGCTGAATTTGCATTCCAGAACTAAATCTCATTTGGTCATGCTGTTTAATCTTTTAAGTATGCACTTTAATTGGGTTTGCTAGTTTTTTGATTGAAGAT